TGCTATGTATGAGATGCATGCTGTAGGAGCTGCATGCTATATATGAGATGCATGCTGTATATGAGATGCATGCTGTATATGAGATGCATGCTGTAGGAGCTGCATGCTATGTATGAGATGCATGCTGTAGTAGCTGCATGCTATGTATGAGATGCATGCTGTAGGAGCTGCATGCTATGTATGAGATGCATGCTGTAGGAGCTGCATGCTGTATATGAGATGCATGCTGTATATGAGATGCATGCTGTGTCGCAGGATAACTTGATGGTATATCCACTTGCATCCCGTGGAGGATTTGTGGCTCCGCAATGCACCCGCTGTGCATCCAGAATTATTCTTGGCAGTATCTCCAATTTGCAATGTTGCATTCAACTCGTGTGGGACTGGCCTACGAATGGCCAATGGGAAACACCCGGGAGAACATCAGGGACGGAGCGATGGAGAGCGCGCAGTGCCGGATGAAGCGAGTGCGGGGCCTGTAGCGTGATGTCATAAAGGGGCCCCAAATAAAAAAAAACGTAAATATTAAAACACATTTTTTTACTTGCATAGTAAAGTAATTGCATTTTTCATTTGCAATACAGCCGGATGATACGAAAAATCGCTAACCTCAAACACTCGGTCGTTTATAAAAGTTGATGGCGGTACAGTACTATAGTAATAGAGCAAGTGCGGAAACACTGAACTGGAATTGATAGCTTGAAACGCGAGCATATGCCACTTTTGCAACCAGGATAATCCGGCACTGAGTACGTGTTCGTTGTTCTCATCGCAGGTGGTAAGATCTTGATGGACAAAACAGGTGCAAAATAAAAGAATCGATGGACTGAGTATTGCAGCGATTTGTAAAGGGACACGGATCAAGGGAACAAAGAGCTGCTGGATGAACTAGAAAAGATGTCCCCACCACCAGGGGATGATGAAAACGATAACGTCTTGTACAAAGAAATAGAAAAGGCAAGCAAACATCTGAAGAAAAACAAGAGTCCAGCAGTGGGACGGCATGAGCGGATAAATGATCAAGTCTGGAGGAAAGGAACTTATCAAAGAAATCCATGAGCTATGCAAGCTGAGTATTGAGAGAAGTGAAAATACCGGAGTGGACAAAAAAACATACTTGTCACGATACCCAAGTCAGGAGATCTCACCGATTGTAAAAATCACAGAACCGTCGCAACTAATAAGCCACGTGGGGAAGGTCCTCATGATAGTACTATTACATCGATTACAAGCGCAGACTGAGGATTCTTTGGCGGATGAACAAGCAGGGTTTCGGAAAGAGAAGAACATCGTGTAGTAAATCTTTATGTTAAGGCTTATAGTAGAGAAAGCTGGGTGACAACTGTTGCATAGATTTCCAGAAAGCATTCGATTCGATGAGACAAGATATAACGTGGTCAACATTGAGATCGTACGGAGTAGGGAAAATACTGGCACAGATTTTTGTTATTTTATTTTTACCTACGTGACTTTACCGAATAGAACCAAAGAGTATGGATCCTTGCAGTCGCGAAAGCTTCAAATCTAGAAATACTGGCACAGATATTGCAGGATACAGGTGAAAGGTCAAAGTCGGCAGTAAAAGTTTGGACAGGAAACAGGAGAATGGTTCCCAACAACAAGGGGTTTGAGAGGCTGGGGGATCCACTCTCACCAAGCAACTCCGTCACATACTCAGGAAGAACGATGCATGCCACATCAGGACAACGGCACAGGAATATCTGTTCAAGGAGAAATAATGCACAACCCGAGATTCGCGGACGACAGAGATCTGACGGGAGAAAGTTGCGTGACTTAATCAGCGTGTGACCACCAGGAAAGTGGTCACACGCTGAATAAGTCAGGAAAGGATGCAGGACTGAGGGTTCAAGTGGGAAAGAAAAAGAGACGACGGTGTTCGGAAGGGAGGACATTGAGGAAGAAGTGATGATAGAAAGCAGAAAGTTTGTGACGTGTGAAGGGATTTGTGTACTTGGGAAGTCGACTGACGTGGGACAAGGACCGCACGGAAGACGGAAGAGCGAGGATCTCGAAGTCAAAAGGAGTCATGGGCAGGGTTCAAGAACATCCGCAGAAGCAAGCAAATCAGCAGCAAGACCAAACTAAACATCTTAAGAGCACGCTTGTTCAGGACAGCTGTGCATGCCTGCGAGACTTGGACATTGAAAGAGGCCGACAGGGATACGATGTTCGTACTCGAACTGTGCTGCTCCGGAAGGAGACTGCGTCTGAGGTGGACCCAAAGCGTGACCAACGTAGAAGTACGAGAAATGTTGCACATAGAAGAAGACGACCTGGTGATGATGATGATGATGCAGACAGTGATGAGAAGGAAACTGGCACGATGTAGACACTCGTGTAGGATGGACAACAACAGGGACATTAAACGTGTTGTCGTCGTTGTAGTTGTTGTAGTTGTTGTTGTAGTTGTTGTCGTTGTAGTTGTTGTTGTAGTTGTTGTAGTTGTTGTTGTAGTTGTTGTCGTTGTTGTTGTAGTTGTTGTAGTTGTTGTTGTTGTAGTTGTTGTAGTTGTTGTTGTAGTTGTGGGTAGAAATATAAGGAACCGGAAAAAGAGGAAGAGCTCAGAGAGAATGTCTTCACGACGACACCATCAGAGATTGGTGCCATGAGAGATGTGGCCGTGAGAGATGTGGCCATGAGAGATTGGTGCCATGAGAGATGTGGCCATGAGAGATGTGGCCATGAGAGATTGGTGCCATGAGAGATGTGGCCATGAGAGATGTGGCCATGAGAGATGTGGCCATGAGAGATGTGGCCATGAGAGATTGGTGCCATGAGAGATGTGGCCATGAGAGATTGGTGCCATGAGAGATGTGGCCATGAGAGATGTGGCCATGAGAGATGTGGCCATGAGAGATGTGGCCATGAGAGATTGGTGCCATGAGAGATGTGGCCATGAGAGATGTGGCCATGAGAGATTGGTGCCATGAGAGATGTGGCCATGAGAGATGTGGCCATGAGAGATTGGTGCCATGAGAGATTGGTGCCATGAGAGATTGGTGCCATGAGAGATGTGGCCATGAGAGATGTGGCCATGAGAGATTGGTGCCATGAGAGATGTGGCCATGAGAGATGTGGCCATGAGAGATTGGTGCCATGAGAGATGTGGCCATGAGAGATTGGTGCCATGAGAGATGTGGCCATGAGAGATTGGTGCCATGAGAGATGTGGCCACTCCTGGAGCCATATTGGCACAAAACTGGTAAAAGTGGAAACACATTACGAAATGTGCAGTGGAGACCTATTAGGGGCGATCTGTCCATGGATCGTGATGATGATGTTGTTTACAGATACAACGGATGCCTATACCTATATATATAGGCAGATTTTGTGTAGCAAATGGACGCAGCTTTGTAAATAAATAAATAAAGTACTTTGAGAACAAGATCAAGGGCACCTCTTATGATGTAACCGACATCACTGCTATTAAATTGTACGCGATGTCATTGACATCACTCGTGTGTACATTTTAATCTCAAAGCATTGATTCTCACTGGGGCATATTCATGTCAGTGTTCCTCTGTGATTTTAAAGTATTTTATCTAATTAACCAGACATCAAGCTCGTGCTGCGGCCAGCCCGGAACTTGCAGCTGATATTTGTATCTGAAAAACGCGGTATGCAGTATGGTTTGGGTTGCGGCTTCAACGTCTTCCACTGCAGTTCACCACTGTAAAACATCATCATCATTGCGCGTTTGTGTGCCAAATTTTGGATGTGCACCTCCTGCTTGCATGTGGAGCTCTGTGAAGTCTTTGCTTTTGTGCATTCACGGCATTTTATAGGTCGTCGTCTATTTCGTATGGCTGGGGGAAGCAGTTTGTAGTTTGATGTCGAGGTTAGCGATCCACCCGAACGGCTTGGGAATGAACCTCTCAGGGGCAAGGAGTTCGGTACGTGGGTCGATCGTCTGACTCGGGTGGTGGCCACGGTCACAAAGTTGGGCTGATGCTCATGGCCCACTTGTGGAGCAAGTGGTCCGGTCTTCTTTCCTGGCCTATCCTCAGGCGCTTGAGGGTTACAAGGTAGTGGCTCAAGGCCATGTTTTGAGTGTTTTATTGTAACATTAGTAAACAAAAAAATTGGGCCATTTTCAATCCGACCAATAGATGATGACCTCCCCAAGCCATGGCAGTCACGTGTTTTTTGTTGTTTAACCATACTTCACCCTGCTGGTCAGTGCAGTCGGAAGGTGGGGTATAGCGAGATTAGTTCTGATATCATTTGGCCACTGATGTTTGCCGGGGTCACGAATACAACTTGTGTTACTGAGTTTATAGTGCAATGGGTTAACACATTTACCAGTGCTCCACTCAATGGTTTGGTTACACATTTTAAATATACAATATCTAAAAAAATGTAATCTGCGAATACAGCAATTTACCAGCACCAATTCTTTCACCACTCCCTTAGCATAAGTGGCAAAGAGAATGTTTAAAACCCCGCACAGCCAAATGGAGGACATTAAAGCTCGTGGAAACAACGGTGTCAGCACCAGCTGAATGACTGAACCTCCAGCAGCATAGCCGGGTGTGCAGGTATCGTTTAAAACGCATGCAGATCATCATACCGTCAGGCTTCATTTGAAGCTTTCGTGACTGCAGGAATTACTCTTTGGTTTCTCTCTCTCTCTCTGTGTATGTGTCTATTTAGCAATCTTTGGAAGGACGTAATCAACCAGGTAAAGTGTTAACTGTTGTGTTAGCCGACTCTCTGTGTTGCATTGCATTACATTTCTAAGTTTACGAGGTTTGTTTTCTCATTCATTCATACCTGATGACGGTTGCTTGTGTTGCAATCGAAACGTCGTATTCTATTATTTCTATTATTTTCTTTCTACGTGACTTTACCGAAAGAGCCAGAGTCATACCTTCAGGGTTTAACAATCGAGCATTGAACCTCTCACCTGAGACAAGGGAGGGGATATGGGTGTCTAAACACGTTGGCATTTCATTTACATGCACAATGCACATGAGGGGTATTTTAATATATTTGTCTTTATTATAGTAATGTAGTGTGTTACATCAGAAAATAAAACAAAACTGAAAACAAATGTTAGAATATACCGTCAAAACGATTAAAGTTTTCAACACACACACACACGGCCGCCACATACGAACACACCATATAGGTATGTTGCTGCCTGTTTGCGTGCAGTGCTTTTGTAATGGAGAGTATATGAAGTAAGGCACCTTTGCAATAGGAGACAAATCTTGTTGCGACTCCCGTATATAAAATATGGCACACACACGCGCGCACACACACACACACGCGCGCGCGCACACACACACACCAGCTGCACGCTGCTCCGCATTATTTGGCATACATGTGGTTTTTTTTCCCCCCTCTCATCTCATCATCATCGTGATCGCGTCGTTTTTTTTTCGGTTTTTACGTGTTTTTTTATCTTTAAAGGATCGTAACATACAAAATTAGATTACGTAACGTGATTTTTGCGAAGCGATCTCAAAGGCGCGAAAAGAAAAGCCGCGCGCTTTTTTGTCCAAACATTGCGCCGTGACAGCCGTGTGAGAGAATGTCGAGCGATGGTTTTGACGGGGGTCGCGTGTGCGCTGAGTGGGGCGGTTTCAGGGGTGCCTGCCCGAGATGTTAACTCCCTCGCCTGGTGTGCAGGAGGTTCATGGTGTTCGACACCGACCCTGACGCCTGTTGTATATTTGCAGTTTAGAATGGAACGTGCAGTTTAGACGATTTGGCTGCTATCAATGTCCACGTGATAAGCCACATTCGTCGAGCAATCATTCGTGGCCAGGTCGCTTCTGAAGAAGAGCCGCATAGCTCAATGGGCCTTACCTGGTAAGATAAAATAAAAATGGGTAATGAGTTCACGTGGACAGGTGGCGTTCTTCAAGAGTGAGCAGGACACGGTTGTTCTTTTCAACTTGCGTCACAGTGAAGGCAGATGTGTAACTATAAAAAGTAGCAGTAAAGGGTGAACATGAACGGGCCTGTATGCCGAGTCCTGGAAGCGTGCGCGCTTTGACAAGCAGGCATGGGGACTCTGTGTAATGTCTGGAATACAAGAGATTCAACGTTAAAGCTCGTATAGGTGAAAACCTTCTGCCCTAATCGGTTTTTAGTATTTTGCCGTCAGAAAACTCATGGGTGGATACATGCGCGCACTTCAACTTAAAATACGTTGAAAATAAGAGTGCGGATAATTTTTTTTTCTGTCTGAACAAAAAAAAAATCACCGAAGCATCGCAGAAAACACCACATGGTAATTTTTGAGTGTATGCCTGTCAAAAAACTCTAATGTACAATTAGTAAATAAACATTAAAATTGTCTGTTTTATAATAAATTTTAGGAACATTTATTTAAAAGGTCGGGTGTGGTGGGGATTTTTTTGCTCTTAATATCCAATTTTTTTCATGGTGGAAAATGAGCATCAGCTCTCTGTATTGATCGTGCCAGCAAGTCACCAGCTTGTGCTCCGTGTGACGGGATATTGTAAGAAGCTTCACTTAAAAACACACCCACGATTTGCCAAAACCCATCAACATTGAGTGGAACCTATGATTTTTTTACCATGAAGCACTATGATGCACTTTCTGATTTTAATAAAAAATCTCATTCTGATCATCTTCAGCGATGCACGTTGCAAGTCGTTTCCAGAAATACGGTGGCTTGGGTGAATTAACTTCTAAAAGTAGACATACACCGATGAATAAACCCATTGATGCTAAAACATTTGTTTTTATATTTTTACACTGTATAAACCCTACAATATCTCATTTTTCAATTCGATTTACGTTTTTTTTAATAAAAGTACCCTTTGTTATTGTAAAGTTTTTTTTGTTGTTTTTGTGTGTGTGTTTTTCTCGTCTTCTTTTCAGTATATAACTCTTATTATTACAAACATTCATTTTTAACAATCCGGAGAAAATGTGGCCTCACAAAGGGCAGTCAAATAGGGCAGCACTGGGCTGTCAGCAGCTAGTGAAAGGTGACATTTTCTTACATGTGTACACAATTGCATAGCATGGAAAACTCCCATTCACTGACCAACAACAGGCTTAAACACAGGTGTTGAGATTTACAAAGTTGGAGCGTGAGCCAATAGGCCATTTCAACTTTCCATATTGGAAATAAAAGAAGAAAATATATATAAAAAAGCACACTTCCTCACTCTTTGTCTTATTTCCATCATTGCCTTCGTGATGTGCAAAGCAAAGGGGAGAGTACAATATTGGAGCTGCGGATTGTTAGGTCGGATTGGTGAGATGGATGCACAAAAGCAGGTGCTGTATGGTCAGATCGCGTGTGCAGAAGAGCAATGCACGCCTTCCTTGGGATGTCCGTGGGGATGGCGGGCAACGAATGGGCATCCCCTACTCCCTGCCTGCAGTGTCCTGCTGGGCTGGCAAGACGCTGACGAGGCCCCCTGCGGCATCCTCGTCCGTCGGGACACCCGTGCCTACATCGTCACCTGCGGAAACGGGAGGAGACTGGGGGTCAGGTAAGGACTGAGGGGTCAGGCAAAATGGAGGAGGGGGGGGGGGTCTGGCAACGGCAGCGATGGGGCGGGCGGTGCGACCGCTGCAGCGAGCGGACGTCGTGGCAACAATGGTGGCGTCAAAATTTACGTTGAAAAAAACTCGATTATTGATTCCATCGTCGCTGCAGAGCTATAATGCCAATTACTCGAAGTGAAAAAACAACAAGTCAGATTATTACAGAGATGGAACAGAACAAAACAAATGGTTGCACTTTCATATTGAACAACTGTAATTTGGCTGTGTGGGCATCCGTATTTACACGTGAAAATGTGCAAAGATAAAGACGATTACAAATACCGCGACTAAACATGCAACATTATACGCGGTAAAAAATATTGTTGCATAGGTTCAGGCATGTGAACAGAAATTGTATCCTAGACGTGGGAAACTTTTTTTTTGTCGAAATCTGCAAAAAATTCTTTACATCCCTAGCCAGATAACAAAACCATGCAATTCCAGTTGACATCCACATATTTGCAGTTTCAAAATTGTGAATGTGCATTATAGCTCGAGAATGAGCTTATTGGATGTGCTGAGCAAGAACAATGAGACAAAGACGGAATGCACATTCATTATGGAGCAGAAGACACAGCCTAAATAGAGATGAGGTTTGCATTATCAGTAACAAGCTTCTGCACCTGAGTTAGGCACATGTAGAATCCGCATTATTGACTGCGGCGGAGACACATGATTGACTGCAATGGGCATGCAGCCCGCCTCCTCTTGATTGATTGAGGGGAGACACACAGAGCGAGAACCTCCGTAATTGACCGAGATAGACACGATGCATACTCCCCCATCACCACCACCACCACGAGGTGCACGGCACAGCCAAACTGACTGCTGAAGGCACGAGACAGAAAACCTGTGCCCCCCTTCACCCCCCTCCCTGCTACCCCATAACTCGTGGAACTATTCCTGACTGAGACTGACAAAGTGCGACTGCGGGACGGTACAGTGAGGGGGAAAAAGTATTTGATCCCCTGCTGATTTTGTACGTATGCCCACTGACAAAGAAATGATCAGTCTATAATTTTAATGGTAGGTTTATTTGAACAGTGAGAGACAGAATAACAACAAGAACATCCAGAAAAACGCATGTCAAAAATGTTATAAATTGATTTGCATTTTAATGAGGGAAATAAGTATTTGACCCCCCTCTGCAAAACATGACTTAGTACTTGGTGGCAAAACCCTTGTTGGCAATCACAGAGGTCAGACGTTTCTTGTAGTTGGCCACCAGGTTTGCATACATCTCAGGAGGGATTTTGTCCCACTCCTCTTTGCAGATCTTCTCCAAGTCATTAAGGTTTCGAGGCTGACGTTTGACAACTCGAACCTTCAGCTCCCTCCACAGATTTTCCATGGGATTAAAGTCTGGAGACTGGCTAGGCCACTCCAGGACCTTAATGTGCTTCTTCTTGAGCCACTCCTTTGTTGCCTTGGCCATGTGTTTTGGGTCATTGTCATGCTGGAATACCCATCCACGACCCATTTTCAATGCCCTGGCTGGGGGAAGGAGGTTCTCACCCAAGATTTGACGGTACATGGCCCCGTCCATCGTCCCTTTGATGCGGTGAAGTTGTCCTGTCCCCTTAGCAGAAAAACACCCCCAAAGCATAATGTTTACACCTCCATGTTTGACGGTGGGGATGGTGTTCTTGGGGTCATAGGCAGCATTCCTCCTCCACCAACCACGGCGAGTTGAGTTGATGCCAAAGAGCTCCATTTTGGTCTCATCTGACCACAACACTTTCACCCAGTTGTCCTCTGAATCATTCAGATGTTCATTGGCAAACTTCACACGGGCATGTATATGTGCTTTCTTGAGCAGGGGGACCTTGCGGGCGCTGCAGGAATTTCAGTCCTTCACGGCGTAGTGTGTTACCAATTGTTTTCTTGGTGACTACGGTCCCAGCTGCCTTAAGATCATTGACAAGATCCTCCCGTGTAGTTCTGGGCTGATTCCTCACCGTTCTCATGATCATTGCAACTCCACGAGGTGAGATCTTGCATGGTGCCCCAGGCCGAGGGAGATTGACAGTTCTTTTGTGTTTCTTCCATTTGCGAATAATCGCACCAACTGTTGTCACCTTCTCACCAAGCTGCTTGGCAATGGTCTTGTAGCCCATTCCAGCCTTGTGTAGGTCTACAATCTTGTCCCTGACATCCTTGGAGAGCTCTTTGGTCTTGGCCATGGTGGAGAGTTTGGAATCTGATTGATTGATTGCTTCTGTGGACAGGTGTCTTTTATACAGGTAACAAGCTGAGATTAGGAGCACTCCCTTTAAGAGTGTGCTCCTAATCTCAGCTCGTTACCTGTATCAAAGACACCTGGGAGCCAGAAATCTTTCTGATTGAGAGGGGGTCAAATACTTATTTCCCTCATTAAAATGCAAATAAATTTATAACATTTTTGACATGCGTTTTTCTGGATGTTTTTGTTGTTATTCTGTCTCTCACTGTTCAAACAAACCTACCATTAAAATTATACACTGATAATTTCTTTGTCAGTGGGCAAACGTACAAAATCAGCAGGGGATCAAATACTTTTTTCCCTCACTGTATATTGTTAATTACGGAGGTACGCACGTATGCGTGCATGCGGGGCATCCTACAAGTTTTAAACAGCCCCAGTAAGAACCGAATTTTATCACGATAGTTAGTTAAACCCGGTTTTTATCGGTGGTCACCGACACGATCCGGTTGAGGTACAACATAACTCCGTCCCTGTGCCAGGCAACAAGATAATAGTACTCTTAGGTTATTTCAGTAAAAGTCACGTAGGTATAAAATAAAATAAATCACGACGTTTCGGGCGCGACACAAGCGTCCATCATCAGGTGGGAAAGCCCATGATGGACGCTTGTGCACGCTGGTGTTGCACCCGAAACGCCGTGATTTACTTGATTTTATACCCACGTGACTTTACCGAAAGAACTAAAGATTATGGATTCCTGCAGTCACGAAAGCTTCAAATCAAGAAAATAGTTAAAATTATGATTTAATTGTTACATTTGTGTGGGCTCACACGAACAGAATAGGATTGGATTTTTTTACGTCTTGGGCTGACATTGGGCTCATGTAACCGAACATTGGTCGCAGATATCGTCGAATTAAACTGGATGAATTTTTATCCTGAGCGCCGGCTTAGACACGTTTAACTTTAAGGTATCGGCTGTGGATGAGTTACGTGATGAATGGGGGGGGGGGCACGATACGTTTCTGGGTGCCCGGCACAGAAACGGAGTTCGTTTGTACCTCTACCAGACCATGTCAGTGATCACCGTAGGGACAATTCAACCACCCGAATCAGACTGACCTCTCTGAGCTGGCTCCTTGGGCGAACCTCTGGAGGAGGAGCCACAGGGAGCGCAGGGAAGCAAGAGGCGGTACAGGTTGGAGAAGAGAAGATAGCAGCAAGGGGAAAGGTAGAGAGGGCCCCAAGCAAACAGTGAAACAGGCACAGAAAACATTTACACTTCAAGTAAACAAGAGTGTAGCAGCAAGGTTAAAGGTGTTATAGATTACAAAAATCAAGATGTGACTTTAAATAAAGTGCGTATTCACACATTTATAGACGTTGCTTTCAATGTTGGAGTACAACAGTCTGGCAATGGTAAAAGATAAAAGTGTAGACTTGCAATTACTTGCTCGTCGCCAGCTCAGTTCTGACCACGAGTGCCAAGATTAAAATGAATGCACCTCTGAGCGAGTGGCGTGTTGATGTTAATTTGTTCTCTAACCTGTGACCGATTTTTTTGGTAGAAAAAAGCGTAGTAAAAAGAATAAAACAACATCAACATATTGAGAAAAGCAGGACTCCCGAACAACAATGGTCTTGAGATTCAACGAGGCTTCTCGTTAAAATAAATATTATTATTCGCATTCGAATTGAAGGACAAATGCTCAGCAATGAGGCATTTGTTGGCTGCAGAATGCCTACTCATACTGTACAGCCACATGTCTGTCAGATGTGTCAAAAAAGTGAGGAACAATAACTATAAAAACCCCAAAATGTTTTTCTTTAAACGTTAATGCCTTGTTTTTTTACCATTATGTAGTATGTTGCCTTGTTCAGCGCCTTATTAACTTGCACACAGCCAAAGATGATCACACGTAGGATGATCTCGTAACAGTAAAGCTCTTTAATTACAAAGAATATAACATGCCACTTTTCAACGGCACACCATGGCTCTGCCCATGTGACCACATTTGTCAGTTTTCTGCTCTTCTCTTTCAGCAATAAAAAAAAAAACTTGCTTCAGAAAATTAAGAAACGTTCACGCGTGCACCGCCCACTCTGCTCGTATTGATTTTGGCCGAGGGTGCGACGGACGGGCGATGAACACGTGGCGCAGAGAGAGAGAGCGAGCGAAGAGAACCATTTGGAATTGACGTCTGACGAATGTAGGAGGCCTCGTGGTTGTAAGTCACCCACAATCACGTCTCGTGCGATCCATAAACAGGTGTCTATCCAACGCTATGGATTACTGCAGAGTAACGGCCTGCAAAGCACAGATTGTGCTGGCGTGTATATCATTAAAAATAAAACAGCAAAAACGAATTGCCTCGATACGCAGATGGGGAAATAAAGACGTGGGGTTTTTCTATTTTAAATTTCTGACAAAGAAAGTCAGGGGGATGTAGGAAAATTAACAAATGTGTTACCGTATTCGAGAAATGTATTTAGTTGATATAATTAGTTTTGTTTTTAAATGACCCAGAGATTGCCCATGTTATCTGGAAAAAAATAACTTGTGAATCATCAGCTTAGTAATTGTAGACAATTATATAAATCCAGGATACGACATCCACTTTTACAATGGTGTACTCGTGAACTGACACGGACGCCCAATGTGTCCACAACCATTAGATGTTGAAAATATATAACTGGGGTTTATATGGTTAGGTGTACAGTATGATCATAATAAATCATATGAATATAACTCTCACTGAAACGTGTGTACGTGCCGCGCATAGACATGTTTGCCAAAGGACACAATTTCGGTATTGTTGGTCCAGAAAATAAAGCACCCAGAAGCTGTTTTTCTTCACCACTCACTTAACTGCTGGCTTTCAAGCTCCAGTTGAACACAGTTATGTCAACTGCTCACGTCAATTAATCGAACCCATTTTTTTAAAAAAACTTACTCCGGTGCAGTCAATGGAAATCAAGATCCGATAATAATTAAACCAGGATATCTCTCTCTCTCTCTGAACGGAATGGAATACAACTGTGATTTTATTTCTCTTCGCTGAACCCAAGACTTCTAACCCAACACCTCCGATTAGCACGGTTGGCTACGTATGGTGCGAAAGAAGTTCAAGGTACGTACATGCTACCAAGGAACCCTCATCGTGCTCGATTTCTGACACCGTGAATCAACAACCTGGAGAACCCGGTCACCTTAATTTTTCACGCTTGATGCAATTTTCTAACATGATGACATGTCCCGTGGGCCATTTATTTAATTGGAAATGACACATGCCCTTTTATAAAAGCAGGCACAATCCGTGGCCAAGCAATCACGCATCCCAATGTCAAGCACATGTGACAAGAACAATGTCTTTTGCTGGTGTTGAGTCATTGGTAGATAATGTTGTTTCCACTATATACGTGTAGGTTTGTTTGGCAAGTGATGCACGGTTGATTCACTGTAACCTGGCAAAACGTCAAGCCAGTTAAGACGTTCCAAACGTCTATGCGAGTGGTACATTATTTGTGGCTGTGAGAACGAAGAGCAGAAGGTGAAAAAGAAAACAATCCGGTTTAAGTGCCTTTGGTATCACTGTACATACAATAAGCAATGCACTTCATATATAGCAGAAACACCAATTTTGAGATTCAGAAGGTTGAAACTAGTCCAGACTATGCTCGCTTAAACAAATGCGGCTTGATAATGTAGGTCTGGTAAACCAATAGTCTGACGGACTAAAACATATATTTTTTATGTCGGGAGAGAATGGGTTCTGCTTATACAGTGTATGCTTTTATATACAGTAGATGCTGTTCTTGAGCCGCCAGAGACCTTGATATATCCCTTCATAAAAGGTGAAGTTATATGGTCTCAATGTCAAGCTCATTTACTTACAAGCACAGTGCTCAAGAGCTCTCAATATGACGCACAGACATTGTCAAACAAGTGCTTCACGGTTCTGCGGAGGGAATCCTCACGGCTGCTTTGTGGAACGCAAAAATTATCTCACAACACCGTCCACAAATTCTAATGTTGTCAGTTTTACAACCGAAACGATTCACAATTTAATCCATCACTGTGCATATCCGTCAATGGAAGCAACGGTGATATTCTCAGGGAAATTTATAGCTACTTAAGTGTGAACACCCAATGCATTGTAATTTGCAACTAAATCATTCGAATAAGTGTAAATAATCGCAAAGTGACTCAGCAGTAGAGCGGTGGGAGGATCACCATCGGACTGCTGCGGGTTTAAATCCTGGTCGGAGTTGACGCAGATAATCATTCCTCCGGGGCCAATAATAAGACAAGGAGCACTCTGTGGGGACGTCAACAGCGATTGTCCTTTGGAGAGACTCACCCCTGTCACATGAGCGTGGAATTCTCACCAGAGGCTCATGGCCGTGCACGGGAGGTGAGCGCCGCTTGTTGGGGTCTTTGAGCCAACCCTCGTTAATGGAGCCCTACACGGGACTTTTAGTGACACGAGTAGGATATGCGATTCTAAGCGCTGATTACCAAATACCTAAAGGCCTGTGGGGAAAAAAAATAGTGTAGTCTGCAAAAAATTGGCAAAATGTTTAACGTGACTCAGTAATGGGACTTGCTCAGGCCTCTACCAAGCGATACGGGGGATTTAATTTTAAAATGTAGAGTATTATTTAAACTGACTTGTCTGCCTACATCTGCAGGTCTTTATTAAATCCTGATTTCAGGTTGTGTGGATACAAACTCGTCACTTGCCGTATATTTAATCAGACCAAAACACGCAATATTTGAGGGTCTCTGGATTGATAATATAATTTACTAAATGAAACGAATGAAATGGAAGTGAAACCGCGGTTCCTTGTTGGTGCATCACCACGACCACTGCATGACGCATCATGCGAGAGGCTCTAACCTGGTAAAGCAACAGCGCAATGAAGTTAACGGAACAGAACTGAAACCAGGGGTCAGTAACGGCGTATCCCCATGACCAATCCTGACAAAGTGCAGTACGGGGCGTTACCTGTGGGCTCCGGAGGGCGCAGACCTCCAGATCCTCCATTACTCAGAGGGTGGGATTCCTCCTGTGGTGGGGGCGGTGGTGGCGGCGGTGGCGACGGCAGTGCCGGCGTTCCATTAACCCTGCCTTCCTGCTGGGGCTGATGGGAGCAAGAGGGGTTGCCATATACGGGGGGTGGGGTAAGGACAGCGAGGGGCGAGACGCAGAGATCAGAGGCTTGAGATGGAGATCGCATGTTGTTGGTCCGAGAGGCCGATATTTTTTCCACTGCGGAGAAGAATCTTCCCAATATGCCAACGAACGTTTGTGGCACCCTCCTGCGGACCACTGGACTGCGTGCCACTTTGGTTTATTGCCGTGTCGCCGGGCGTTCATTAACGCCACACGCGCGTTCAAGACACGCGTGCGCATGGATGACCGTTCCAGGAAAACATGCAAATTAACTCACATTTCAGTTTGCGGCGCTGCAATTAACACCGACGTCACCGTTGTGACAGCTTACATCGGAGCAGGGCAAAGCATATTCAATGAGCATTTGCCACGCGGGAGTTGTGCACGGGAAGGACGACGTTACCATAACGCACGCTAACTATTTCGTTAAGCCAATTTTGGATACGGCATATAATTGCGTCTTTCGCGAGCGGGTGGGATCGCCTTGTAATGAAGTTGCAGTGGTGCTTCGAGCGGTCTGCAGGAATTGGCACCGCCGCCCAGCAGGTCATTCTTTTTTTTTGGGGGGGGGGGCCGGGCGGGGGAGGCGGGGGGAGGAAACTATTTTTTCGTTGCCATTTCCTCGTCTTGGGGCGAGCGCGCGAGCAAGGTCGTGCCTAGTGTTGCTGCCTAAGGCCCCGGTAGCCGCAGGGAACTCAATCAGTGCGGCGTCATGGGAACAGGCCAACACTCCATCATCCGCGGAATAAAAATAACTTCCAAGTGGACAGGTGTCACGGTGATCCATCTTGTTGTTCCAGTTGCTTTTCCAGTAAAGAGAGCAACAATGCAATGTCACGGCCGATTTTTTTTAACCCTTCACGGGACACGATCACCTCAACGCGAGGATTCAATTAACCCCCCCCCCTCCCCACATCCCCCCCGCCAGATGAACCACTCTCCACTTTTTTCCCCCGTGACGGCTTCACAACTCGCCCCAGGGAGAGGCGGGGCCCGCACTGATGGGAAGCTCCCTCTGGGACGATCGCCGTGCGTGCGGTAAGCGCCGGGGTGGCCGGAGGACCGCGGCACGTGGGCAGCACTTGAGCAGGCGCTGCGTGCCGAGCGAAATAACGGAGGGCGTCGGCGGAAGGATACAGGACACGCTTCTTATTTGTGGCAAGGGTATTTTTTTTTTTTAAATGAGTCACATGTGGGCTGCCGGGGTAATGGTGAGTTTTATGAGATGCTGCCAGCGTTTATGACTAGAACTGGCTGCGTATCATCAATCGCTCAAGCACAGCTGGGTGTCTGTGTAATTCCGAGCCATTCGACCGTGTCATGCGCATGGCCGCTCGCATATGGCAGCAATGAGCGTTACCATGCTGTTCCGCAAGTAGCGAGCACCTATTAGTGCTTCAAGCGCGCCTATGTCATAACGAAGGTGCTTTTGTGTATCAGTGAACCGTTTAACGTGGACGTAATTTGTAGGTAGCGGCAAGAACAAATTGATTTTTGTCCCTAAGTGATGGTGGGGCATTAGTGGTCCACCTGCAATGGAAATTGGTTTCTTACCAGCCGTCAATGCGATTGACCCACATCTATGGGACAACAGGGCCGGAGGAGCATTGTTGTGGTTGTGTTTCGACAATACGGTTTGTGGGTGTTACTCGAGCATTACTGGGAAGAATAAAAAAAAACCAGCCGGCATTTGTGCCAACGGTGAGCGCAGGCTTTCATTATGGACGCGCGCGGTGGTTAGAGGGGACACAAAAAGAAAACGACAAAGTTACCGACGGACGGAGCGTTGCGACAAAAGTTCTGTTTTGGCAATGGGTCTAAATTAGCCGTCGACGCCTTCACGCTGCCCGCCCCCTCGTGGGCACCCTCGTGGTGCAGGCCTCTCAGACGGCGGGCGATGCAGAGCGCCGCTGTTTACGCATCATCATTTTTTATGTCGCGCATGAATAAGTAACCGCATAAATATATTGAACGCACCGGCATACATACTTGAACGCATAAATAAGTGAGCGACCGAACAAATGGACTAATAAATTAAATAATCACATAAATAAATAAACGAGCAAATAAATAGTGTGAGGGGTAATACATTAATAAATTGACATACACATGCCGAGGCGCAAATTATTTAGAGCTATGCAAAGTTTTGCATTGGTACCGGGGCATGTGTGCTAAACCCTGACCGAGTGACGTGCGTTTAGTTCCGTGAGGATAATAACAAAAAAACACCATTCCCAAAACCCTCTCTCCAAGCGCATGAATACCACTGCATTGAAGTGTATTCAGATGGATTCCGTGAATAAAATGTTCCCCCTGCAAATAATGCGGCACATTTGCAAACAATGGAGTCGAATGAGTTGCAAGATGTGAACTCTCCTGTAAGGCCAAGGCCGATCGTCCGGGTCCTTGATTAGTAAGCGTGGACATGGTAAGTGCTGACAGCGGTGCAACTCCGTTGCCAAGGCAAACTAAAAGCAAGTTCTTAAATTTCTAAAACTATCTAAGTTTGATATATTACAATATAGATGGAGGGGGTTTAAAGTTTAATTTGCCATTAAACATTGACGTGCGCTTAACGCTGCAGTATTCATGACTCGCAAACGGGCATAATGGTTTGTGGATTGTCGAGTGACGGCATGAGACACACCATTTGGCATATTTTTAACTAAATTTCTTACATTTTATAGACATCGTGTAAAAATGTTTCGCAAGAAGCCCTTATGTAGCGTGCAGTGTGCTGCTATGCAATCGATTGATTTAGACTATCCCCATCCCTCACCTCTGGGCGATTCGACAATTTGGCACAATTTGGGGTGGGGGGGTGGGGTTAAGATTCTGTTAAATAACTAAAAATGTTGTCTCATTGGCACCATCTCGTTTGTACAGTCTCTTATATATGTTTTTTCCTGTAGTTTTTGTAAAATCTCGTTCGTTTCGTTGGCCTAAAGGTAGCACATTAATCGTAAACCGTCAATTTTTTATGCATTGTGATTTGATGCATGATTCAAGACCAGCAGAGTAGATTTTAATGAATGAATCACTGAATGCACATATGTTACAAATATCAGCGACAGTATGGAGACATTAACGAGGGCCTGTGACACTTGGAATTCTGCTCCAGGAGTTGGACAGTTCTTGGAGAATAATCAAACATTGTACAATTTCGTTTTTAATTAAATGTCGAGGACTGGGCCGCTTGCCTTGTAAAAGCAAGTACAAAAATATATAACAGCTTTATCGTATGTATTCACTCCGCTCTTCTCAAAACGTTTAACGTCAGTCTTGATTTGAACGTCAGACCTCAAGAAAATGGCAAGAAAATGGCATTTGTATATATGTAAAAAGTTAAATTTATAATATGCATATTTAAAGACTCTCCGTCCAAAGCAAAGTCTTGCCAAGTGGACTCAACACTCAAATGACCATGCCCGGGTTGTACAGTCCTACAGTCATCACGTGTGGCCAACACATCTCAGCGAACGACAAAGAACCCACATGAATTCCCTGATTTCCGCTGAGAATGAATTGTAAATCAATCGCGAAGCATTCCTATTGATCCCAAAGTGATTCGGGACAATTGTAATGGATGATTTGGTACCATGCATTTATTTATTTTATCCCCCCCCCCTTTCCCCCTTTCGCATAAAAGTGTGTGTTTGGCTTTTCATTGCCGCTCATTCATTGAAATCGACCAAAAAAAAATTGCTTTGCATTTATTGGGGGATAGTTCAATGTTAATCTACAATAGTTTGGAGTCGATCCACGCCCCCAGGGGGTGTGAATTTTGGCATGCTCAGCGCGTGACTGATGGCCCTCAAAGCGAGGCACAATAAATCTTCTGGCTGAGGCTGGGGTTGAGATTTTAAAAAGGAGGCATCTCACCTGGTCCAGCAGCTGCCGCAAGCGAATCAGCTGGGACTCGAGCTGACGGTTGTGATCTTCCAACACCTGCATCCGACGGCACAAGCAGAGGCAGCGGTTGAGTGTTAATGGTTTTCCGGGAAAAGCCCCCCATCAGAGAGACCACAACTTAAAAGAGATTGGGTGGGGAAAGGGGAGAAACAAGAGTAGGCTCTCCAATAGAAGACACTCATTGTGAGATTATTTCTAAACGGCATCACCAGTTTTAGATCACCTAGGGAACAACTGGGAATGCTGCAACAGTTAGCGGAGTGCGCCGGACTCGCAATCCAGAGGCCGGTGGATTTGTCTCCCGGTATAGCCGTTGAAACTATGAGAAAATCTATGAAACGGCCCTCCCCCACCGCCCCTCCCACCTCTGTCCATCCAGCAGTGTACATGGAGATGCTAATTTAGTTGATTAGCAGGTGACGTGTGGTGAGTTAAAGTGTGGGTACTACCCCTACCTCATTAAGGTATATCTGGCCAGCAGGGAGGACTAGACCGATATTCCCTCGGGAGGGTATCTGGAGAACTCCCTCTGGAATGAAGGCCCCTTCTGCCAGCAGTGGTGTGTGCAAGCAATTACAGGGCTGCACCTTTACCTATTTCTACCACCTCTTACAGAACAATTCAAAACAAAGTAATAAATGTAAAATAGACAATTAGGTAGATTGAAACTGAGATTGCTAAGCGGACACAGCCACCGTGCTTTCTAATAGTCACCCTTGTAAACGAGACATGTTGTTTTAATAGCACTCACCTGGATTAAATAAAGGATATCAATCAACTGCTGAAGCCAGTAAAAACCACAGCGGCTCTCTGGCAACTTGCAAGGCATTTATCTTACACCCTGCTGACGTTGCGAACGTCCCGAGGGAATATTTCATGTGGTCGTGTAGAACACTGGACATGACTTTCAGGGATGTCCCATTTCTACATGGCACGGTGTCATCTTCTCCGCAAGCAAAACACTGTCTCCTGAATGACATCAGCTGGTAAAAAGTCTGCCACGATCCTGCTATTGCCTCCGGACGAGTGAAACGCCGGAGCCAAGAACAACTTGTACCGCTGTCCTGGTTTAATTTTGGATTCCTAGTGATACGGTAATAGTTAGCACATTGGTCTGCAGTAGACGTGGCATTCTTTCAGGGGGTAGAACTTGACTGCCGCCTGTTGGTTCTGTTTCTCGAATATTCCATGATTTATCTGCATCCCTGCTTTGCTTCTGCTCCAGTAAATGCAGTGCAACGTCACGTGTCCAATTTGCTTGGGAACCAAGGTGTATGCAGATATGTGAAAAGGTCTCCATTCGTGAACATCTACAAAAGCCAAGAGCAAGGTGCTGCGGGGAAATGCTTTGCCGCACTTTACAAGTAAGCGGATGCACGCGAGATTCAGAACACATGACTGCGCGTGAAAGGGGCGGGTTTGTGAACGTCTATAGAGAATGGCAGCTCACACCAGCGTTCTTCACACGTTTTCAGAGAGCGGGGTAGGGGGTACTTTCGCCGATCAGACATCATCTGCGTGAGGGCCCCCACTCCGCCTGCAAGGGGCGCTCTCACTCATTGTGGATTGTCAGGAGGCCGCACGTCAGGGGCCGCACTAAAGGCCACGAAGGGCCACCAGTGACCCACGGGCCCTTGCAATGAAGAACAGGGGCTTACACCACCGTGGATAAATACTTGCAACTAGGTGTGGGCGGTTAATTTGTCAGGGCTGACATGTGACGCTCGGACATAAGTGACAGAGTGATGGACTTCGTTCTCTTGAACCTCGGCTTGGCAGCGTTCCTCTACCCTACTCCTCTGCTGCTCCAACCGACTAAAAGCAACTTCCCAATGTCGTCGGTCCATTTGTATCCCACTGTTTATGTCCAATTTGGAGATCCATCTCTTCTCCATAGACGATTTCCTGATTTAATTAGACCAGCTGAGATTCTGCCTTCCTGCCGCTGTAATTACATTTAGTTGTGGATTTGTATATTATTTGTACATATTTTATTATTCCCTAACCATTCTTCGTGACATATTAATGCCATGCCCAGACAGCCTCTGAAGACAAATTTCTATATTGATGCAATATTATAAACCCACATTTATTATTCCGCTATTGTAATGTGCAGGCTTGCTCACCTTAAATTAACAATAGAAGTGCCTACATATTTTCTGGTTATTCTCAACGGCAGCTCTGAGCGTTGATGCCATCTGGGAATGGTGTAGACCAACAGCACGTTTGGCTTTGACACCATCAGGCAGCGAAAGTACCTGTAGCCTCTTAATAGGTAGGAGCGTATACTGCATCACACTCATTTATCCTTGTCCCTCTACAACCTCCTACAATGTTAAAATTTATTTGAACTACGTGAATCAAGTTACATCTAATCATAGGTGACCACAAATCATAAAAATTATTTAGGGTAATTCATGTGCTATACTCTTGTCAATCCACTGCTGGATGAAAGCCTCTCCGTGCCTTTCAGCCCTGGGGGTTGTCTGACTATACTTTGCCCATGCTCTTTGTTCCGTGTTGGTGAAGGACAAGGGCTGGTTCAGGTATCGCTCGCCACTGATGTTAGCTGTGCTCATAACGCAGTGCGTAGACCAACGTGCCACTGTTCCACCCCCTCGTATACTCAACACGCCGAGCATTAGCTGCGTGCCTATTTTGTGTGAATTCACGTGCCGATTTAAGAGTTGACTTATTATCCCATCATCTCTTTTGGGTTGGTAAAATAAACACTAGTCTCTGCCAAAGAAATGTAGACAAGTGACATTTCTACTGCTGGCTTAAGGCTGACAGCAGATATGAGCCAAGCCACGTATTTTTTTTCACTTTCACTTTCTGACTGCTGCGAAAACACCACCAGTTCTCAACTAAAACGACGACATTAACGTTATGCTTCTCCGGCCGTGAGCCAGAACCAACAGCCCTGGTCACTGGAGGCCACACTTGCCACCAGTATTTAAAAGTGAGAGCTTCTATGAGGAGGAATGCTGGGAGAGTTGCCCCGGGTAGCTCAGAGGCCCGAGGTCAAAGCACTGAGAAGGGCCTGCTGATCTCCTGGGTTCAAACCCAGGCAGCTACCCACGATCCAGATTGCATTGTTAAAGCGTAGAGTTTATCACAGTGTTCTTCATTGCAAGGACCCGCGGGTGACTGGTGGCCCCTGGTGGCCTTCAGTGTGGCCCTGATGTGCAGCCCCCGACATACACAAGTGTGAAAACACTCGCCATCATCGTCGCGCTGTCAAAGCCCCAATGGTTTCACATGTGTGGGCGGCCCTCAAGCACTGTGATGTTTTATCAGCGAAAGTGGCCCCACCCTCTGAAAATATGTCAAGAACACTGGTTTATTGTCTCAGCCTGGTCACCAATAACTGCACAAATAAACTAAAATGGTCACATTGCATTTGATTGTGCACTTGACTCGGCTAATAATTTGGTTTTACTGTGATGCTACAATCTCACAGCAGAGAGTGTGAGAGAGTGCGCCCCCAACGGTGTGAATCATGCAATGCCCACTTTGCAGAATAATTTTGGAAGATGTCCAGCGACAAATTGCTCACATGGGGCAGCAACGACTCTGCAAATGGAGTCTTTGTCTTGTCGCACAACACCGAGAGCACAATTGTGAACACAGCCGGGGAAGGAGACCAACAGATTTTAATCGAACCTGCATGCGAGCTTCCAGCCGACCCTTGTGTTGCCGCAGCAGCTTGGCCTCTGCGATGAGCTCCGAGTCACGGGGGCTCTCAGGTGGCATGGTGGGAGGGGCCGGCAGCAGCGCGCCCAGGCCACCCAGCTCCTGCTTCTGCCGCAGGCGATCGTACTCCGACTGCAGGCTCCTGCGGAAGCACGGCATAGGCATTAACACGCGTCTCTGTGGAGCGGCGATTGCCGACCACAGTGGTGACGGGCCCTACCATGGTGGTGATGGCCCCTACCATGGTGGTGATGGCCCCTACCAAGGTGGTAATGGCCCTAACCATGGTGGCGATGGCTCCAACCATGGTGGTAATGGCCCCAACCATGGTGGCAATGGCCCCAACCATGGTGGCGATGGCCCCTACCACGGTGGCAATGGTCCCTACCATGGTGATGATGGTTTACCGTGATGCGAGCTTGATCACAAAGATTTCTAAACTCCTTAACTTGTTGGGCTGTGATTTGGCCAGTAGGTGGCATTACAGAAATTGGATTTATCCATCTGTGCAGAGCTTTGGGTGTTTATCCCCTCATGTCCTTAGGTTTACTCCGAGTTAATCTGGTTGTCTCCTGCTTGCCAGCAGTGAAATGATTGTAGCTGATAATAATGATGACATTGTACATAGCAAAAAGTCATTAATGGAATTGGCCAAAGTTCCAAATGTAGGATCCTCCAGAAAACGAAGGGCCTTGGAGTCTTAACGAATCTTTGTTGTCTAAATAAAGGCCATTTATATTATCACTACACCAGTTTTCTCAGTACAATGCCTCGCTCACATTCCTCATCTCAGCACCGAGTACGGTGGAAACACGTAACCCAAAGCCCTAGACGGGGGACTGGTGCGTCGCACAGCAATCACATGCATACGGCAGCCACTGCAAGGCTACGAGGTCCCTAGCAGGCGGACGCACAAACGTGTAAATAGCTGCCCTATCTGCATAAGTTCTTCCCCATGTACATTACTCAATGAGATAATGGCTAATTGTTCCATTGTCAGGCCCTCTTCAAACGCAATATCCAAGATATCATTAAACATAAAACAACCATTTAATTATTCTATGCGTATGATACATTTATAATCCACAATGTCAGTCGTATTAATCACTGATTGGCAAAAGCAAATGTAAATGTGATTAGTAACTGGTAATTTAGAAGCTGGTCATTTAAAAAAAAGGGTAATTAACCCCACGGACCTCATTACAATTTGTAGAACCATTTTTTTCCTTTGCAAAACTTCACAATGTTACTTTTTAAGCTTAACTCATACATTTTGTTTTACAATTTTGTTTGTATTACGTTAGTTTCTTGTGCTCACTATGACCACACTTATTTCTATGTTCACTGCTTTCATCTTGGACCAAATTTTATGGCTCCATTGCTTATTTATTTGCGTTTGCTAAAAAAAAAAAACGCCAAACAAGGTAAATTTAAAGCAGTCGAATTGGACGAGCGGGTTCGGCCCGAACTCCCTTTGCACCCTTACCAGGCTGAGCCAGCACCAACCGGGCCGCGTGGCTCACTCTTGATGGCTCACTTTGCTAAGGGAACTACGTGCATTCAAGACGAGCCACCCGGTCACGACGGCAAAGGGTCAACGTGGAAGTGAGACGCGTGTTGCTAGTGACATCTCTGGCTTGGGGTCAACTTTAGAGAGCCGTGTTTTTTTGTTGTTGTCAGGGCCATGATTTTGTCCCAAACAAAAGTGGCGGGAAATTAAAAAAATTATTGAGTGGCAGTGGCCGAGCCCATAGAGCCCTGTGGGGTTTGCTTCAAATAGTATAGAAACTTCTTGACTGACCGACTGGCATCCGGCAATATTTTAACCTTTCTTCTGCTGAAGCCCTCATTCGTGCCTCCATCACTTTTTGCTTTCATTACTAAAACTCCTTCCACTGTGAACTGCCAAAATCCCTGATATCCAAACTTCAGTTGATTCACAACATTGATTTCTAAGCTTCCTCTCTAGTCCTGCAGAATAGGGATGCATTGTGCCAGTCCTCCATTCCCTGTAATGATTTCCCATTTGTCTGTGCATCGACTACAAGATTTCTCCTGTCGTGTCCAAATCTTTCATTGCCTTGCTCCTTCTCACACTTATAATCTAATTTCCCCATACTCCTTTTCCCACTCGACCTAGCCCAGCCAACATGGTCTTCTCTCGGCCTTCCATCAAGTCCCACAAAAATAAATGTAGGCCTTATTCTCTGCTCTTTCTATAGTCAGGAATGCCCTTTCCCCTCAGTATGAATTGAAATAAGATTCTATATCGGTCTTGAAATAATAAAAAACATATATGTTCCCACTGATATTGCCAAACGCCTGCTCTGCTCATACATATTTGCATGTTTGTCCATATATATGCTTATTCATTATGTCACCCTCTTAATGTATTGCCCTACCAAGACTGTAGAGCGGCTATAAATACCTTTCTATTTTGGCACTGTATAAAAACGAGTTGCATTGCATTATCTAAACTCAATGCATTTATGCAACTGAAACGATGCATTTAACTGCACCCAATATGAAAACCTCATTGATTTAAAAGTAATTACGTCTCTCTATTGTTAATGCTCACATTTCATTCAGTCCACCACGGCACTTGCGCACAAGATTCTGCAATCTCTTGCATGCACGGGCGTGCGTGCCTGAGTGCGTGCGTGTGTGAAGGGGGAGTGGTCGCGTAGAGAGGTTCACCTATTGCCACCCGAGTTTGATTCCTGCTTGTGGCCAATATCAGTGATGAAGGTCTGAACTGGTTCTGAACCCCTCGAGTTCGACCCAGCCTTAAGCGAGAGTGTCAACATCTCAGCGCCGGGGAGACAAAAGCCCTCTCATGCAACCATGCCAACCTTCATACGTGCTCGCCAACAGCACTTTTCCGATAGTCTGTACGGCTTTAAAATAATGTTTGACATTGTGCGTGTGCATGCACACGTGTGGGTATGCATGCATCTGTTCATGTGTATGTATCTATGCGTGACACAGCCTGAAATTAGTCCTGGTGTAGTGCACGAGCATCGCCACGAGGGAGACAAAGGCAGCCAGGTGTGGTGCTGGCCACCCACCCCCTCGTGTGCGTGCCGGCCTTCATTAGGTGCTCGCCATAAAGCACTCGCCCCAACAGTCCGTTAAGGCTTTACAGGGAATCTTTGTCTCTGCATATGCGTGAGAGCCGATGCATGTGCATGTCCGCGACAGTGCGAGTTTGCAGGTACGTGCGCGAGCATATGTGTGTGTGCGTGCATGCGTGCACGTGTGCGCGTGCATGCGTGCGTGCGCGCGAGTGCACGTGCGTGTGTGCGCGTGCGTGCGTGCGCGTGCGTGCGTGCGCGTGCCTGTTTTCGTCCTCCAAGTCCCGCAGGATGCGCTCGAGTTCGCTGCGCTCTTGGCTGTCGAGAGAAATGAGGATCTGTGCGGGGCTCTGCGGCTGGCTGCCTGGGGATTCTCCACTCAGGCTCTGACAATAGTGCTGGATCAGCAAGTGCTCGTCCTCCCTATAACCGCACACATACACAGACGCACGCACACACACACACACAAAGAAGACGCTAATCGTTGAACGCAGTGCCACGAGCATACTCGGCCCCTTGGGCACGGGCAAAACTGTGCGCCTAGGATAATAACGCCCAAACGGTGAAGGTAAAAAGGCTGTGCGAAGGGAGCCTATTAGCCCAATCCACAGTGGTGTGGGAGCCACGGGTCTCTGTAGGGGACCCTTAAGGCTAAGCAAAACGGGCTTTTACGTCTGAGCAGTTAGGGAGTCTTTGTACAATGAGAAAGAACAGGCTTTTAATGCGGCTGGATGCCCTTTTTGTGGGGGAAGAATAATTCATTGTGCCGAGACCACTCTCTCCAAGATAACTTTGGGCACAGTGATAAAGAATATCCGGCAAAGCGGCTCGCAATCGGAAGGTTGCGAGTTCAATTCCTCGTTGAGGGGGTTGACTCAGCTCATAATCCCTCTGGGGTTGATTTAAATAAGTACTACCTTGTGCGGAAGTCAGCAGGAGTTGTCCTATGGTTACAAATGGCCCCTGTCATAGGAATATGGAATTTCCATTCCCAGCTCATGGCTGTTAATGGGAGATGAGCATCACCTCAGGGCATATCTGAGCAGGAAACCACTGACTTTTTTAACACTTGTTAATGATTACATTTCCATTAATCATTTAAAATATTCTGGAAACACATTGTGTCCAGATCAAATTAAAACAGAAGAATGTAGACAAAAGCTTTCTTTTTTCAAATGAATGCCATTGGTTATTACTAACATTTATAAAGCAATTAACACTTTATCAGTACCAATTTTTTTTAATTAATTACACCATTGAACCCTGCCTGGTATAACGATTAAATTAATTCGCTCTGCATTCTGTTTCCGGGGAAATACTCGGTACACTCACGAGCTTGTGACAAATCTGTAATTTTGAGCGCTCTGACGGCAGCTTATTGCTTTTTTTTTTACAAACACGCGCACGCACGTTTGGCTGGGATCTGTGGCATTTCCCCGACAGGCGACCTTTCTCACCACGCCAAATTACGTTGAAAAAGAGGTTCCGTCAAGTGTCCATTGACCCTGACGAGGATGCTTAGTCCTGTACGAGGCCAGACTGTGCCCATGAACTGGTCTGGTTATTGCGGAAGATGTGATGAAAATGAGAACCGAACTCAAGTACGATACATATAAAAAGGCATTGTTGGTCGTACGTGCTGTTCGTGCGAGCAGAAACTTTGTCAAAGAGCCTGAGCGACATTTTCACGTGCGTGTACGCAACATCCCTTGTACGGCTGGGTAGAAGGATTGAGAGTGGATAGGACCCAAAATCAACGACGATTTGAGATCTTTGCACTCGCGGCTAAACTTGTATGAGACGCGTACAAAGGGTGTTTCGGAGTAGACAGCCCGGAGTAAGATGGATGCATGCTGTGCTAAAACTGAACAGGTGTAATCGAAATATTTATTGGTTTCATGGAGCTGCCTGCTGTCATTGCCACCAAAATCAAAACAAAATGCAATTGTTTAGGGAAGGGGTGGGGGAAGTGGTTTGCTTATCCAGTGACATTCGCGATAATTTAATAGGGATAAGGGGGATAAAGGGAAAAAAAGAATTTCAAGTGCTTCATAAATTCAGCTACATTTTGAATACATAATGTATCCACAATAAGTGAACCTGGCCAATCTTTAAGTCTGCTGGGCCAACTCACAAAAACATCGAGACACTTTGTAATGCCAAAATCAATCCGTGAGCATTTGATGTAAATGTGTTTTTTTTTTACCCAAATTATTTCCACCCCCCCCCCCCTGCAAGTTACACACACAAATGCGCAATTCATGAAATGTAACATATAAAGGTGCCCAAAAAGATCTCCGAGTTCTGAAAAATCTTCCAAGTCATGCTTTATGGTATTTCAAACGATGACAAGCTACGATGGCTTGCACTTGAGAAACCATTACAATGACTGACATATATACTGTTTAAATATATGCTGCCATATTTCCTCTATACGTCCTCACAGTAAAAAAAAAATACAAAAGTTTGACTGCTACATTGGAAATGAGATTCAAAATAGTATTTTTATCATTTGACAGCCACATGTATACTGAGATACATGGAGAATGCAATGTTTGCCAGGACTGTCAAAGAGTAAAAACTTTAACTGTCCCTGCTTAGGACTGATTTCAGTCAAATTTGAACCTACGACTTAGGGTTGTCTACGAAAACATGAACACGTGATTCAATAACAGTGGCCTTAAAATGGCAAAAAAAAACACAATAATAAAACATTTTGGACAAAGGTCCTTCTTCGTAGCACGTACAAATACGACTTTTAACAGTTTGTTTGAAGATACATAATCGAGCAGGCCAGATTTTCTATGAACTATCTACACACAGTGACAATAGCACTTGTCCACAATGTTATGCCAGCCACTATATCAGTCCTGCTCAGGCAGTTTGAGGCCAAGCCTCAACTGAGCAGAGTCACAAAGGAACGGTGCTGCAGTGGTGACCTCCTCCTCTTCCTCCTCCAAAAAAATTGTACAAATGAGAGGATGCCACTCTCAAACGCAACACCACCTACTCTAGCGGATAGCTCCATAGAGAGAGAGAGAGAGGGGGGGAAGAAAAACAGCTCAAAGGGTAAGCCGCAAGGGGTTCAGGGTCCAGGGTGCAGGAAGAAATCCAAGGCAAGAGAGACCTCATTCAATATTGATGCCCACTTTAAGATGAGCGGTCTTGCTAAGCCGTCTGTCACTTTTTAGCAGGTATGCCGGTTACTTTCTTGAAATGTGGGTTTATGCAGATAGCTCCAATGTCATGAATAACTTATGAAATATTTTCGGCGGCTATCACCTGCTCGAAGGGTTTGGTTGTATTCTTCTTCTCCCAGAAAACCAATGTAAATTTGATGAAATCTCAAAAGAAATATATTCAACGTGCCACTACTCACGCGCCACAAAGCAACACACAGTGCACGTGACCAAAACTGAGGCGGGACGAAGAGCTAAGGGGAGACGCACACGGCTCTTGCCTCCTAATGGCATCCTCGTTCGAGTTGCGAACTTAGTTGCGAGTTTGTCATGAGCTGTTGCCACAATTCAAAGGGATCCTCAGCTGGTTTAAATAAGCAATACGTATCAAGTATGCATTCTGTGTGGCTGAGAGTGCATGTGTATATATTCTTATACGTGAAAACATCTCTGGCCTCTGCCGACCCTGTCCACGATAAGAAAGCAATTGAGAAATCTAGAATATCAGAAATATTACGATTTATTATTCTTGGTTATTTCGGTAAAGTCACGAAGGTAGAAAAAATAAAAGTTAATGAAATAAAAATTATATTGTATTATGTAATTTTTATTTTATTTACTTTGATTTTTTATATCTACATGACTTTACCGAAAGAACCAAGAATATGAATTCCTGCAGCCACGAAAGTTTTAAGTAAAAATTACGATTTATTCAACGTAAACATGGATTGAACTGTTTTAGAGCCGGGGCTGTCCAATTTTTTTATTAATTTAATCTTCTACTGACCATTGGTTTGATTACTGAATTCACGTAGCATCCGTTCACAGCAAACTAATTAACAAATCTCCTTCATGAATGGGACATTAAAGACAAGATGTGCGGTTGTGGCCCTGCAACCCAATACTGTGGACTGTAGAGTAAACCGCTGTCATCTGTGAACCTTAAACGCAGGAGGGGCAATAGCAAAACTACACCAACTCCTCCTTCCTGAAGACCTCTCATGGCGAGCAAACCTCAACATCGGTATCTAGCTCCTGAACATCGTGCAAGAATAATAATTGTCTATGGGCAACGTTGAGTGTGTGGGCACTGTTCATAACCAGAATCTTTATATATCCTGGAGAAATCCGATGAGCTATGAGGCTCTTTTTTTTACAGATGTCCAGCAGGGGCCGCTCAGAAAGTCACAACAACAAACAAGTACAAATAACGATGTGAGTGCCAAAGTGCATGCGCGTGTACGTTCAGTCCGTGGGCAACGTTCAGTCCGTGGGCAGCGTAGTAAAATAAAGGAGGAACAGCAAAACGACGCGGACTCTCTCTCCTGAAGCCCTCTCGTCGTGGCGACGAGACCTCGACATTGGCATTTAGCTCCTGAACATATTTCTGCCACCCATAGGGATGTTTGCGGGCGTGAGCTACAACGGCTGGTTCGTGAGCGCACTTTGTGTTGTGCACGAGAGTAACGTACAAGCTCTCATTGGGCGAGCTGTCATTCAGGAAAGATCCGTTCTTGAACTCCATCTCTGCCAACCTGAACAAAAAAAAATATTACACCGCAGCATTAGAACTGTTTACATATCAGAGAGGGTTACTGCATACATACTAACTATTTTTATGTTACCAGGTAAGGCCTACTGAACTATATAGCTCTTTTTCAGAAGCGACCTGGCCACAAATGATAGTTCAACAAAGTGGCTTATCATGTTTCCACGTGACAACAAAGTGGCTTATCATGCTTCCACATGATAAGCCACTTAATTTAACTATCATGTATAGCACTCCAATACTGTAAACGCGTGATGTTGAAGCGAAATGTGGAGGGAAAAGCTGGAGAACCCGGAGAAAAATCCACGCGACCACAGGGAGAGAGAGAACATGCAAACTCCAAATATATTCGGCATCAGTGTCGGGATTGAACCCACAACCTCCTGTAAAGCAGACGAGGCAATTACCATCTCGCCACCACGGGCGCCCGGTGTACTACATGCATTCACACACAGCAGAGTTTACTTATAAGATAGTAATAATTGTAAGTAGTGGGATAAAAATCGACAATGTGAACTGCGATTGCCTTTGCGCACAATTCTCTTGGGTTTTGTTGCATCAGTGGTGGTAAAGTGGTGGTAAATAATTAAATGAGAACACACGTTTTATTTCTAATTAATCTCATTGAATATAGATATGGCCTCATTACACTGTTCACGATTCATATTTATTATGAGGATTACATATTCGTTTAAAATTACGTTCCTTCGTTTAATCACTTGTTTCCCTTTGATTTTGTGCTGTTATTTGGAGCCCTGTTAAAAAGAGAATACACGTGAACGCACGCGCGGCCATTTCAATTTTAAACCGTTCAATATTTAACAACAAAGTGCTTTTTATCTTGACTTAAAGCTTTCGTGACCGCTTGTGTTGCGATGGAAACGTCGTCGTTTCTTGTTATTTTCTTTGAACCTATCTACGCGACTTTACCGAGAGACTCAAAGAATATAAAGTGCTTTTTAACAGACCTACTACTATATGATTCCCTGTATTTACAAGTGGCCCTAAACACAAAGCACGGCCCAGATTATTGCAAATGCTCATCAATTATAGAAAAACAACTGCCTCTCTTTCAATTTTAAAAGGCTTTTATTTTGTATGCTGTTTTATTGCCAAAGTGCCACCGCATATGTATATATTTCTCAAATAAAGCTCGCAACCCACTGGTTTTGTTGCCTGTACGAGAGTTAAAAAAATAAAATCGTTGACCTCATGGCTTAAAACACAATAGAGTGTACTTCCCGTGAATGTGGTTTATAGAGGACACGCAAAAGACTACTTTGCAGAACTCAAATCGATTGGCCAATTTTAACTCGGCCACCTTGTGTGCACGCGTGTGAACGTGCAAGATCAAATCGTGTCATGTGACGCGCTTTACGGAAACCTCAAAAACACATCCGTCAAAACTCAAACACCATATATGTGTACAAGGCATCCGTGAAAGAATAATCAATTATTTAAGAATTACATGCTGCGTTTTGAACTGTGTGGCTGAAATATTTGGCAACATATTCCCCATATACTTACATTTTTTAAAACCAAAAAAACTTGAGTGATCTTCATCAAAGACAGCGATCCCCTTTTCGCCTTAACTGTTGGGGCAAGTGCTGTTAGCGAGCACCTATGAAGGCGGGCATGGCGCATGAGGGAGTGGGTGGCCAACCCCACACCTGACCACCTTTCTCTCGCTGGTGGCAAAGTGTAGACATCACACCAGGTATTTATTTGAGGCTAAGTCAACCTAGGGGAGGCCCAGGACAGGTTCAGATACTCGCCACTCGTGTTGGTTACGAGCGGGAATCGTCCGTGGGTTTGTCGGGATTGTAGTGCGCTCACTGCTACTCGATTAGCACAGTTGGCTACGTACGGTTCGAAATAAGTTCAACATACATACTATGAGTATTCTATCGCTCCCCACGACGATCTTCAACAGCAGCACGTAACAGAAATAATTCGAGGAAACACGTCCCCGATGTTGGCGACCGCCGGGGATTCTCTCAAATTTCGATGCAACGCGAGTCGCCCATCCCGTGGAGGTTAAGAGGGACACCAGACTCGTGAGATCAAATTCTTACGTGACCCAAATGTGTTCTCACGCAGTTTTATCAATCAAGCTGCAACTGCGGTCTAATTATAATTCTCTAATCATGAATGATACCTTGGTAGACATCGTTATTTATTTTATGAATGTCCGTTTTTATACGTAGATATTTTGGTTCGTTCAGTCGTAATGCTCATAGACTTTGAAGGTCACAGATATTTACATCGAAGGAGGTAATCAACGTAATGCCAAGTCGTAATTACGATAGACGCATAACATTTTTGGTTCACGCAAGTATTTGGACAGGCAAACGACATATATGCTTTACGTTCACAGGTGCGGTGGCAGGAGTATTACATCAGTTACCGGGGTAATTGCTATTTATATCGGAAACACACCAGGGAAAAAGGCGAATTAATGCAGCAATAACTCAAGTAATTGCTATTTATATCAGGAATACACCAGGGAGAATGGGGGTACTAATGGAACGGCTGCGGTAAAGATGCACGTGCATGTTGGTCGTGTCCCTCACATTACACGGTGCCCCCTACCACTGTGCCCTGCTTATCTAATCAATCTGACGTGCCGTCTGTGTAAACCAGGGGACCAGGCACTCACCTGCTGGCCAGGTGCTCGATGCGGGCATGGGTGTCTTCGTTCGAGAGCTGCGGAGATGGAGACGGCCTGGTGGGAGAAGGAGACAAGGTACGGAGAAGGGGGGGGGCGGCGGTGGTGGGAGGGGAGTAGATCCCCGCGCGTTGAAATCGGCCTCGAGCGAAGCACACAAACGTGCGCGCGATAAAAACAGAGGCGAGGCGTCGTCTCGGAACGGGGGGCCCTCCCCCCCCCCACCCCCCCCCCCCCGCCCACAACCTTGGGCAGTTGAAGCTCCGTCATCGTTACAAGCTCTAAAGCTGCGCAAAGGTTTACACGGTCGCCCGCACGGCTCCACGTTTGGCACAGGAGTCGTCACCCAGTCCAGGTTTTACACCGCGCTGGCCCCGCCCAATCAGGTACGCCACGGGCGGTTCCGTGTCATGCTCACGCTGAGGATCCCCCTTTGTTTTCTCTTCTTCTAAAACAGAACCCGTGCGTTAAAACAAGTTAAATTGCGTGAGCGCAACATAAATCCCGGACCGGATAATCGATGCCCGGCTCGATGGAGCCTTGGTGACGACTGCGATGGCGGTAGTTGGAAGCATGCGACACAAGTAATAATAATGTCCCCAACGCGAAACCTGCTGGAAATGGCCCACCCGTGTTAAAGTGGTTAAAAACAAACAACAACAAAAAAGACACGGTAAAATTTAGATGTGGGGTGTACGAGGTGTTAGGGAAACAGAAAACGGAATGAAGCAGTAAAGCAAAGAGGGCATCGGTAGTGACATGACGACGCGGCAAAATCCTTGCACCGTTCGGCGGCGTTTATGGGGAAGAGTTAAAGAGTTAGCGGCGTTGCAGAGCGCGGAGGAGACACGACCACGCCAACACCACACCCGCGTACTCACGCAAGCGCAACGGGCACCAAACGGATGACAGTGACTGGACTGAAAAATAAAACGTCAGGGTGAAAGGAGAGGACAGAAGAGGGGTAAAAATTAAAACTTAGAGAGAGACGGGAAGCGGTCAGGAAAACAGACAGGTGTTGTGTGGCAAAATGGATGCGTATTTTTTGCGTTATGCGTAATGCGCCTCAATGCATGGGTGCACATTTCGTGTACAGCATATGGCATTACCACTATTCGCATTATTTAAATTAGTCCCACGAGAAGGTGTTTTATATTTTTGAAGGGATGTCTCTATATCTGTATTCACGTAACCCAGCAGCACCTCATCACTCCGGAGCTCAAGGTGCTAACTCCTATTGTCACAGCTCACCGTGGCCAATCCACAGCCCAGGCTTTAAGCAAACAGACCAATTAAATAGAGCTCGTGTCTTTCAGCTCACCTTCACCTGACATATGCCTCCACTCACAATTCATCCACCAAGCCATATTTTTCCCCGTGCCCTCTTCCACCTACAGGTCAGAAGATTCTTCAGACGCGGAAAGGTACCCGCCCCCCTGTGCGTTGTGCTGATAATTAAGCTTAGGCAATAACAATCTGTAGTAATCCAACACATAAAAAAATAACTCCGATTATTTACCTAGAAAAAAAGCCTCGTTGTCTCAAGATTCTTTTTTCATAGTGGGGCCTTGAATTTTGGACCTATTGCCAATTCCATTGGGAAAATTCCATTGTGGGAATAAACCAGTGTACCCAGATTAAAAAAAAAAAACCTACACATGAGAGGGGGCGACACTCGGCACTACCATCTCCTGGCCCCCTCCTAGCCCCACGCTCGTAGCACGTGGCAAGCCCCGTTGTGTGGTCTCACAAACGGGTGCTAACCAGGCTCCGGACCTGCTAAGCTTGCGAGCTCCGATAAGATGGGCGGCGCGCAAGGTGATGCGGTTGTAGGATACTTCATTCGCAAAGGTGTTCCTTGGGCCCGAGCCGTAGAAGTTGAAGCCAACGGTACAAACAAAAATTCAGCTTTTCCATACTCTTGAGTTGCTCTTTCCGTAGCCTTTCAATGAACTAATTTGTGGCATTAGTTTGACGGAAAAAAATTCCCGATGTAACGTGACTAAAATGTGACATTATGGTGGCATGATGATGTGTGTGGTAATACTGTATGTATGAGCCACTAAATATGACATCCCTAGAGAATGACCTGACAAATTGTATACCACATGCTCAACGATAAGTCCATTAAAAATGCGATAATTGGAAATTTAAATTAATTAAGCAATTTGCGACCGAACGAATTATATCACATTAACATCTCGATACATTTCAATGCTCCGTCTGCTGTATCACACGGCAGACACAAACAAACCAAAAAAAAATCGAGAAGGAAAAAATATCACTTCCAGGAGGGATTTCACAAGTAGGAACTGATTACTTTGAATTGCCTCTAGGTAAAGTGTGAATTTCAAGTATAGTTGGGTTTGACAGCCATACAAAGTGGATGGTAGAGGGCTAAAGATAAGGTCACATTGGGGGGGAAAAGCTGTTTAACGAAGTGCAGGAGACAAGAGGCGCATGCGGGGCTCACGTTTCAAGGTCGTCTCCCTCCAACACCGTCTGCACGGGCAGGTACCCTATCCGTGGGTGCTTCTCAAAATACTTCTTGGACTTGAACTTGTTTTTCAGCACCTTAGCAAAGTCCCGAATGTCCTCGCCGGAGGTGGTCTGCGGGGGGGGGGGGGGGGATATAAAAAATAAGCGAGCGAGAGTGAGGGGAGGATTGTTGCGCGAAGCCCTTGAGAGAGTTTCGGTTTTTTTCGATGTGAATGTCTCGCGAGAGATGCGGATGAGGGCAGAGGGCGTAATCACGATGCACCGATTTTCATTGACCAACGACGTTCGATTTGCGGACGTTGCACGTGACGGGTTTACGCGATTCCCCTCCGCCCCCATCATTTCCGTCACATTCCCCACGCTCCTCTGCTAGAATCGTGACTGCTTGAATTGTGAAGGGGGGGAGAAATCATTACATCCATGGTAATTTTTTTAAATATTCCTGAAGTTTGATCCTGATTGTACTTTTGGTGTCATATCACAAAGAGACAAAGAATCGATTCGGAAACTCTCGCAGACCAGCTGCACCCCACCGCCCTCCCCGCAACACCCCCACCCCCTCCCTTCCCTGTCCGTGGAAGGAGGTATCACAGAACTACTTGTGAAATCTCTTTGAGAAACCCCTCATGCACACGAGAGAGAGAGAGCAGCACTTTCCCGCGTGCTCTGTTACTCGGGATAATGTTCGTCGCAGGACAATAAAACTTATATTTTTAATTCTCACAGCTGGAAATTTAGACAAATTATATGCAATACCGAATTTCACATGATGAATATCTGCGCAGTCATTGGTGACCAGGCTGAGACCACCCGTTTCGCTGCACTTGAGTTAATACACCCCTCATTAGTGAGATATCGTTATTCAAGCAACGGAGACACCAAATAAGATGCACACATTTTATCTTTAACTATTCACACTGTCAACACTCAGCATTGCAGCACAACGATACATCATTAGCCTCACTGCTGGGGCCAGTGGTGCCATGGTATGTTTATGTTCTGAATATATATATTCACAATAATAAACCCCTACATTCTGGATCCTTATTGAAGCCTGATGAAATCATGAGAGAAAGTGCTTCTGGACACTACGGAACCAGAGAACCACGGTCTAGGACTTCTGTAGCGTCCCTGAAGCACAACTCACCACGTATCTATCACCGCGTCTGCATTCATTTCCACATGATTAAATCGTGTTTTTCGGAAATAAATTAATCAAGTTTACACAAAGCATAGAATAGCCATACTTAAGCGTGGAAAGTCTGTGGCTTTTTCGAGCACACAAAAAATGCAGCTTTGTATACCATTGCAAATAGCCTACTACTGAATTAAGCAAGCTTTACGTAACAATACACTTGCAAAATACCTGTTTTTATGTTTTAGATATGCTCATAAAGCAAGGAACATTTCAGAGAGAGCATGAAGTACATTCTTAATATCGGTAAATTGAGACGAGATATAAAAAGAAATACACTTCCTCTCATATCAGCAGGCTAATTTATTTTATCTAGCCCTCGATTGTTGGGAGTTCTGATTGAATGTCAACTTCAGCTGGCGTATCTAAAAGGCAGGGAAGATTATGAGGAAAAATAAAAGCAATTTTAAGTGCATTTTAGGAAACCAATTACATCTAAAGTAAGGTGTAAAGTACATGCTCGTAATTTAATCTCTCTTTCAAAGAAACATTCAATCACCTTGCGAGTGTGCACACAGTAGTTGTCTGCAACAAGAGAACATATGACATCCAAATGCTATTTGGATACAAAGCTCCGTGATAATTTCGCGCAATATGTAGCAGCTTCATTTTATTGGCCCCTATTTGTGCAAAGCATAATCGAGGGTAATTTAAATGGAGCCGATTTAATATCGAACCAAGTCTGGGAGTGAAACGCCCCACGGCTTTGCTCTCCCGTCACACACAAGCCATCATTACTGGCGGCAATAACAAAGCAGATCATAGCTGCGAGTTCGAACCGAAATCACAGGGCTGAGCACCCTACAATTCCTTGCTACCTGCACTCACAAAGGAACTCTTGTAATCAGGAGCGTCACCGACCAGCCACCGATTCTGCACATTTGAAACACCGTATTTTCTCTGGACCATGCTCTCTAAAGTAAGATGCAACCAACATTTGTGCCCGGGTGTCAATAAAGTTGTACAAGATTTGGTGACCACACTCACACCAACTGGATAATTTCACATTCAACGCATTTTGCAAACGGTGAGAAACGCTGTCACAACCAGAGAATGCATGCAGGCTGGAAACGCATAGCTGGCTAAATACTAATATGGCAAGAGGATTAGCTCTTTTGAGCTGGTGGTCTGGACAAGGCTGAGAACATTGTGCACGCAATGTAGTGACCACATGACATGCGCTTCTGCGGCCGTCCGGAACGCTCTTCCATCCGATATTAGGAAGCCAGAGGAGCTATGCACTTTTAAATCTAGATTGAAAAGTAATTTCTTTACAACTGATTTGTTTGTGTTTAGTTTGTTGTTGTTCGCCCGTATCTTCGATTAGCACAGTTGGCTACGTACAGTGCGGAAGTTCAACATACATACATACATGCAAGGCATGATGAGAATTGTGCCTTCCTGCTGTATTTGAGTGAACCTTTGTGTCTCAATCTTTCTACCAACCACATTACAAAATTACACCCCGAACTTTAGTATATCCCAACGAAGAGTGAAAAAACAAAGGTGAAAAAGAACACGTGCATCGCGATCGAGAGAATGTGCATCCGCAAGCGATCGAGCCGAGCGGGCTGTGCGAACTGACCGGCGTGCAATATTCCACCATCGGGTAGCTGAGCTTGTGGCCCTTGGCTGTCCGGCCGGAGAAGAAGCAGCTTTGGCACACGTCATAATTGAAATGCTTCAGGCTCCGGTACCTGCCGTGCAGGAAAAAGAAATCCACATCGCGCGCGGTGATACACGGCTTGTGCGCCAGCGTATGCGCACTGCCACCTCTGACTGACAGTGGGTGTTCAGGCTTAATATATTAAATAGAGTAAGAGCCCCCCCCCCCCCCCGTGTGACCTTGGTGAGTGTACACAGTTTGATTCCAATAAAATTTAAATCGTTGAAGAGACAAAAAGCAAACCCCATTCTCTAAATGTTTAATTTTTATACTCCAAAGAGGATGGTAATTTAAGTGCAGCATCAATAAAAAAAAACGTCATGCGGTAGGCAGATGGGTCAGTGGTTTCTTTTTTTTCCTAACGAGCCCACAGCCGGACAAACTGACCCATCACATCTGGTTTTCTGCCGCCACGTTTAGGGAACTGTGCAATGGCCAAATGCTGCCTCGCGCAACAGACAAAAGTGTCCCGTATAGCCTCAACAGAAGTTTGGGGCGGCAAGTGCTGTTTGCGAGCACCCACGAAGGCCGGCACGGCGCACGACGGGGTGGGTGGCCAGCACCACGCCCGGCCGCCTTTGTCTCCCATGTGGCGATGCTTTCACACACCGCACCATGTGCTCATTTGAGGCTTGAGTGGACCTAGGCGATGTGCAGGACCGGTTCAGGTAATCCTCACTGGTGTTGGCCGTGAGTGGGAATTGACCTCGGGTCGCCGGGTTCGTAGCGCAGCGCGCACGCCGCTACACTCCCGCGGCCCATGCTGCCTTGTACAAACACACACTAACTCAGATCCTGTCACGTACGATAATATCCATAAAATTGTATTATAACTGAAAATACCTAAAAAAATATCGGCAAAATCATAATAAATGGGACATTTTTATTGGCATGCGGCCCTTGTCAGTAAGATGCCGTGGGTAATTTTGTCTTGAAAGATTCAAATTTCAGCACAAATAACAAACTTAATTTTGATCGTTTCGGAAACTTTGCTGCATCAGCGCATAATGAAATTTTTTTTATAATGCAATCTGGTTGCTGTGGTGCTTCAAGTGATCGCACGAAAAGGCGGTGATTGACATCCGCTTCAAGAAATGAATGCGCAGTGCTCCGTTCGAGTTGTTCTCATTCGTATCTGCACCCCCCCCCCAAATGCCTGTCTCTATCCCAGTCTCCCCTGCCTCACACCTCCCGAACCTTCCAGCCTTCCCTCCTTCAATGTTTTCCTTCCCTCCACTGCCCTCGGAGGTTTCTGCATGATGGTGCCTGCCACAGCACCGGGCAGAACACCGTCGACCGAGAAGACTCATATACGCGGTACCGCTGCCGACACACCTCGCCGGCATCGGGACTCTGCCCACGCGCTTGCTGATCCCGCCCACACTGGACGTCCGTGAAAAAGAGCTTCCTAGCTCATCGGATTCCTCCAGTCTAAATAAAGACTCCGATTCCGAATATTGCCCTAACCAATCTTGTCCTCTTTTCCATTGCTCTCTTTCACTATTTTTAGCTTCTCCTGCGGAAAGAATTAACTGCTATTCGTAAAAAAAACTTTATATATGTAACTGTCATCATCATTGTCAGCCATCGTCCATCCACTGCTGGATGAAGGCCTCTCTAAGCCGTCACCACATATCTCACGGTCTGGCGATACAACAATCCCATCATCGACCTATCATTCACGGCTAAATTCATCGCGAGCACAATCTCCAATCAGGTGCGCTCCCTCTCTTGAGCTGCAACTCCGGTCATCCTCGCAGCAGCGACTTTTGGCTCGCCATCGAACAAAGATGGCCATTGCAACGCGCGCTTTTAGATGCGCTTCGGCAGCCGTCTGGAACGCCCTTCCTTCCGTTTGCCCACTGACAAATAAATGATCAGTCTATAATTTTAATGGTAGGTTTATTTGAACAGTGAGAGACAGAATAACAACAAAAAAATCCAGAAAAACGCATTTCAAAATTTGTATAAATTGATTTGCATTTTAATGAGGGAAATAAGTATTTGACCCCTCTGCAAAATATGACTTAGTACTTGGTGGCAAAACCCTTGTTGGCAATCACAGAGGTCAGACGTTTCTTGTAGTTGGCCACCAGGTTTGCACACATCTCAGGAGGGATTTTGTCCCACTCCTCTTTGCAGATCTTCTCCAAGTTATTAAGGTTTCGAGGCTGGTGTTTGGCAACTCGAACCTTCAGCTCCCTCCACAGATTTTCTATGGGATTAAGGTCCAGAGACTGGCTAGGCCACTACAGGACCTTAATGTGCTTCTTCTTGAGCCACTCCTTTGTTGCCTTGGCCGTGTGTTTTGGGTAATTGTCATGTGGGAATACCCATCCACGACCCATTTTCAATGCCCTGGCTGAGGGAAGGAGGTTCTCACCCAAGATTTGATGGTACATGGCCCCGCCCATCGTCCCTTTGATGCGGTGAAGTTGTCCTGTCCCCTTAGCAGAAAAACACCCCCAAAGCATAATGTTTCCACCTCCATGTTTGACGGTGGGAATGGTGTTCTCGGGGTCATAGGCAGCATTCCTCCTCCTCCAAACACGGCGAGTTGAGTTGATGCCAAAGAGCTCCATTTTGGTCTCATCTGACCACAACACTTTTACCCAATTGTCCTCTGAATCATTTAGATGTTCATTGGCAAACTTCAGACGGGCATGTATATGTGCTTTCTTGAGCAGGGGGACCTTGCGGGCGCTGCAGGATTTCAGTCCTTCACGGCGTAGTGTGCTACCAATTGTTTTCTTGGTGACTATGGTCCCAGGTCCCTTGAGATCATTGACAAGATCCTCCCGTGTAGTTCTGGGCTGATTCCTCACCGTTCTCATGATCATTGCAACTCCACGAGATGAGATCTTGCATGGAGCCCCAGTCCGAGGGAGATTCACCGTTCTTTTGTGTTTCTTCCATTTGCGAATAATCGCACCAACTGTTGTCACCTTCTCACCAAGCTGCTTGGCAATGGTCTTGTAGCCCATTCCAGCCTTGTGTAGGTCTGACATCCTTGGAGAGCTCTTTGGTCTTGGCCATAGTGGAGAGTTTGGAATCTGATTGATTGATTTCTTGTGGACAGGTGTCTTTTGTACAGGTAACAAGCTGAGATTAGGAGCACTCCCTTTTAGAGTGTGCTCCTGATCTCAGCTCGTTACCTGTATAAAAGACACCTGGGAGCCAGAAATCTTTCTGATTGAGAGGGGGTCAAATACTTATTTCCCTCATTAAAATGCAAATCAATTTATAACATTTTTGACATGAGTTTTTCTGGATTTTGTTGTTATTCTGTCTCTCACTGTTCAAATAAACCTACCATTAAAATGACACCCTGATCATTTCTTTCTCAGTGGGCAAACGTACAAAATCAGAAGGGGATCAAATACTTTTTTCCCCTCACTGTAGCTTTCTGTTTCTTATTTTATCCCTCAACGACACTAGCGCGGTTGGCTACGGATTGTGCATTAAAAGTTCAACATGTATAAATATCTTCCCATTAGCCTCGACCACAGGTCTAGCGACGTGTCCTTCCCAAGCCAACGCACTTTTCTTCACGTGGTAATGTTAAACAAACTTTACACGCACGTTAAACGCTAAACATAATCTGCTTTGCTTCTCGCGCGCATTCTGCTCGAGCTCTCACCAGAAATGTCTAAGAGCAAAAACCGCCACGAGGACCGAGGCATGAGAAGCAGAGAAAGAAAGTTTATTGAGGTGGCCTCAAGGCATGAGTGGGGGGGGGGGGGGGGTTAACATGAGGGAAGCTTAGAGGGATAGACGTGAAGCATGCAGGGGATGGGAATAGGCAGCGCTGCCAGAGAAGGCGTTTCCAGAAGTTCAGGGGGGGTGGTGGGTGATGGGTGGTGGTGGGCACCCACTGATTTACCGGAAGCCAACGATGGGACACTCCTTGCAGATGTTGCACTTGGCCTGGTGCTTGGCGGTCTCCGAGGCGGCCACCCGATGCAGTACGGGTAGCCACACCATGGACTGTGGCTCCATCCGCATCCACTCCAGGAACATGGTCGCCTCGATCTCGGGCCGCCCGTTAGCCTGTCATGGGACCCAGGCGGGGGGACACAGGCGGCGCCGCGCGCTCGTCACGACGCTCGTCACAACGCTCGTCACGACGCTCGTCACGACGCTCGTCACGACGCTCGTCACGACGCTCGTCACGACGCTCGTCACGACGCTCGTCACAACGCTCGTCACGACGCTCGTCACGACGCTCGTCACGACGCTCGGCACAACGACGACGCTTTAGATGTGCCGGAGCACAGCCTGCAGCCAGGTTTAATTCGGTGCGGGCGGCAAGAGATTTAGACGCCTGCCGCACCGCAGACTAAGCTCGGGCTTAGCCCGCGATGAAAACCTCACGTTCTGCACAGAGTGGCACGCATACAAGCAGCGGCCGAAATCCTCGGAGAGAATGGCATATTAAGCGTGCACATGCGCGCACCGCACGCGCATTATCTTCCGTCTCGAAAACGGCAATCCCTGCCACCGGAGCGCGGATTAGCAGAGACAGAAAAGTTATTTGAAGATATCTCTCCGGCGGGTTTGTGAGTTGTGCCGCGGCTACTGTTCGGTACGATGTCCGCTGCTATGCGTCACCACGCCAGGTTGTTTCGCAAGACGTCCGACGTTTCATTCCAGGTTGTGGGGAGCTTCGCGGAGGGGAGCTTCGCAGACGACAGAAACACAGAAACACGTAGTGCAGCCCGATAACGCAACATCAGAAAGCGGTATGGCACAACGGAGGGAATCTACACAACGCTTAGTTGGGCCGATTCGTTCAGTTCCACACTTTGTTCTCGCAGGCTGTTGGGGCAGACGGTGCGTAAGGCAGTGTAAATGAACGGTGTTTAATAACATAGCAAGTTTGGCATGATGTCCGATGGTTTGTCCCATGTGTTAGGTTGTTCCGCAAGAGAATGTGTCGGCAGTGGTGTTGGGAGGACCGGCAGAAAAACACCACACCACACCTCAAGCATTATTAACAAGGACATTCTTATCAGCTGAAGAAACTTAACTGCACATGAACAACGATTATACGTGTATAACCACTATCTCTCCTTCCACAGTTACCAAAGCGGCAAAAAAATAGGTTTACATTTCACGTGAGAATCCATTTCAATTGAAAGCAACACACATTCAGAGACAACATTAACTTTGCGTTGCGGTACTTTCTGCACCGAGTGATATTCCAATTATACTCTCGGCATCGTGTCTATTAAACATATTCATTTTCAAATGGAACTCTCACAGCACGCAGTGCACCACGTCGTATGAGAAAACAAGATATCACATAACTACTTATGGGGTCCCTGTAACAGGAATATTATCCTCAGTAGGGGACAAACATGTTTTTATTCGAGCTGCGAGATTTTTCATCCTCATGGCAATAACAAATATATTTTAATCCTCAGTTTCGGAATACGTTAATTTGAGCGACTATTCAAGTTTTGAAATGGCGGCGTTACTCCGCAGCAGATGTGTTATGAAGAAGGACCATTGCCTGAAACATCACAGATTAAAAATAAGGCAGTGTTGTTGCTGAGTGTTTTTGTTGATAGTAGGTTTTTCCCCTTTTTTCTGGCAACAAAACAGGTGTTAAGTCGGTTAAGATGTTAAAACACCAAACTGAAACCTTTAACAAGGAATCATGTCTGCATTAAACCACAATGTTTGTGGTCAGAATGCAAACATAAAACACACTCTGATAATATATGCATTGTCCTTGAAACTGATTGGTCCACACCAGAGACAGCTTTCTTTTGAGCCTCGTCTCAAACGGTGTCAGACCCTGAAATTTCGAGAAGCTGGTTTTTAGTCACAGGCGGATTTCCTAACCTGGACTTGAACTCAGCGCTTGGGCATGGCTTTTGGTCTCAACCACCTTCAGTGTCAACCGCCGGTTGTGGGAGCGTGCGGACTCACGAACTGGAAGCAGCTGCGCACGCTGGGCTCAATGTTGCTGCCCCCGAACGAGGCGACCTCGCCGAGCTGCCGCGGGATCTGCACGGCGTCGTGCAGCATGAGGCCCAGGCGCCGCTGGTCACAGAGGCCCGACACGCTCGCCACCTGCTTGAACAGGACTGCAGGCCCCGCGGTCGCACGGCGGGAGGGATTGCGCAGGGTGGGCATCGGAGGAGGAGGAATGTTAGCGAGGTGTAAGGGTTTGTACACAAAGATAAAGATCCCCCCCCTCCCCCCGTATAGCCTTAACAGACTGTTGGGGAAAGTGCCGTTTGCGAGCACCTATGACGGCCGGCATGGCACACGAGGGGGTGAGTCCGAGTACGGTAAATTGCGGGCATATTTGGGTATAGAGGTGAAAAGCCTGTTATCGCGAACAGTACTGGGGAGATCTTTAAAATCTGCCAAAACAACACGTTGCATGTCGCCTTTCCAAATAAGCATATGCTAATTCGACGAGGCTTCCACAGCACTTAAAACTGTGGTGGGTGAAAAAAAAAGTTACTTGAAAAACAAATCTCTGGACCACACAGCTGTCCCAGAAGTGCAGCCCTATCCAGTGATGCGTAATGTATTCATGCAGAAATACTACCAGTTTTAATTGGTATGTTCCCAGTGCAGTAGTTGCAAAAAATCGCCTTAATAAACAAATGAAAATGTGTTAGCAAGGGGCATTGTGGGCCAAATGCATTAAGTCTTGTCATGGCAAACACACTGCCTATGTGTACTTAGCCTACTAATTAAATTCATTAAGGTGAATTATTAATGTTCGTTGTTGCCTTTTCAATTTACACCATAATCAGCTTTCTTATTTAATAATCGGCTCTCGATTCAACTTAGTTGCTACATTTTATTGCACGACCCATTACAATAAATGTTGATGAAACGCGATTAGCGTTTTTCGTGGTGAACACACCACGGTTCAGAACCAAGAGAGCATTAAGACCATTTGGCACATTTATTTACAGACTCCAGATTTCCTGCTGCTTACGAGCATTAATAGGAATTAATGCAAATGCGCGCGTAATTATATATGCGGTTGCACACACACATTATCTAGATGGTCGAGGAAACGGACGATATATTTTTTTTAATGAAGGGGTCGCGGAGTGTCCCATTGACCCCGACAGCTGCTGAGAATGCCTCCGTTAGACAATTCGAAAAGAAGGGTTTTGTGGTTTTTTTCTCTCTCTCCGTGAATGCTTCGCGTTAAATAGCGAGGACCGTGTTTCGCATGATGAGCTCTCCGAGAGATCAAAAGAGACTCCACTTAGCGTAATAATTCAGAGGGAAGGACTTCCAGCCGAGTGGCCGCATCTCTAGAATGGCAAAGACGAGACTCCCCAAGGTCAGATTAGGCGGAAGAAGCGGTGCAGGCGGGAAGGGAAAGCCAAGCCAGACCCAGATAAATACGATTTTATTAAAAGTGCAATGGAAAGAACTAAGTCCCCGTCGCTCAGCGTGACCTTGAGAGAGAATATTCAAATTAATGGCCAATCGCGTGATACCGATGGCAGTGCAACGGTTGATCCTCCAGGGTTGCAGCAACGTCAAAATACGAGGCGCACGTTGGGAAAAAAAAGATGGGAAGCATTGTCGTACGTTGGCGTTCATCTTCCTGCATTTAATGATTTATGTTAACTCGGAATGCTGGTGTGTGTGTGTGCGCATTTAAATGTGGGGAGCCGTGGTGTAGTGGTTAGCGCGACGCTGCGCTACGAACTTGGTGAACCGAGTTCGAGTACCGCTCACGGCCCACACCGGTGACGATTATCTGAACCGGTCCTGGGCCTCCCCTAGGTTGACTCAGCCTCAAATGAGTACCCGGTGCGATGTGTAAACATCGCCACTCGGGAAACAAAGGCGGCCGGGCGTAGCGTTGGCCACCCACCCCCTCATGTGCTGTGCCGGCCTTTATAGGTGCTCGTTAACAGCACTTGCCCCTACAGTCTGTTAAGGCTGTACGGGGGATCTGTTTCTTTGTGCATTCAAAGACATGGCATGTAATCAGACGATCCTGTTCTCCTCTGCCTATGACCATCTCCTAACGGCAATGGGATTTCAATTGCACCTTACGTGAAAAATAAATATAAATACCTCCCCTTTCCGTCCCGGTGATATGCACGCTGCACTTTTATGTACGGCATCCATGAGATGCAGGCTGCATTTCAGGTGAAAAGCCAAAGGTGCAGCCCTCCAATTACTTGCGCACTCCACCGCTGGTGGCAATGGTCTCCAGGAGGGGGACAGCCCGATCTAGATGGCGTTTGGCTTCATCTTCCACGTTGGCCAGACGTCTTAGAAGAGGTGGACGTACCGACACTTCACCCCACCACGCGTGATCTGTAAAATCGACTAATTGTGGTTGTGCCCATTTATGCCGCTGAGTGGATTAAAGAACCGTCACCATTGCTGCAACTACCCCACCGGGAGATACAATTGAACCCACGGCCTCCCGATGGCAAGTCCAGTAAATCCAAACTGCTGCATACATTGTATGGTACATCCTCTTCCTGATGACGAACGCTCGTGTTGCGATCGAAACGTCGTAGTTTTTTGTTATTTTATTTTAACCTATCTACGTGACTTTACCGAAAGACCCAAAGAATATGGTACCTTGTGTTTATGTAAACACACACAATGCATCGCATTGTGCACATGCATTAAGGGGGTAAGGACAAGGAGACATTCCAACTCTCTCTTATTTCTTTCCGAGTGCAACGTTGAAAGTGGGACCACGGCCGTGGTGAACGTACATCTGTACTTGTCCTCGAGGTGAGCGTTGGATAGAGAAACGAGCCCTGTCTTGAAGGACAGCTCTCGTATCTTGCCTCCACGCCCCCTGGAGAGCACAACACAGCAGTCGAATACAGGAGTAGAACACAATCAGGAGTAGATCATGATCAGGAGTAGAACGATCGGGAGTAGATCACATTCAGGAGTAGAACACAATCAGGAGTAGATCACATTCAGGAGTAGAACACAATCAGGAGTAGATCACATTCAGGAGTAGAACACAATCATGAGTAGATCACAATTCAGGAGTAGATCACATTCAGGAGTACAACATAATCAGGAGTAGAACACAATCAGGAGTAGATCACAATCAGGAGCAGATCACAATCCGGAGTAGATCACAATCAGGAGTAGATCACAATCAGGAGTACAACATAATCAGGAGTAGATCACAATCAGGAGTAGATCACATTCAGGAGTAGAACACAATCAGGAGTAGATCACATTCAGGAGTAGATCACATTCGGTAGTACAACATAATCAGGAGTAGATCACAATCAGGAGTACATCACATTCAAGAGTACAACATAATCAGGAGTAGAACACAATCAGGAGTAGATCACATTCAGGAGTAGAACACAATCAGGAGTAGATCACATTCAGGAGCAGAGCACAATCAGGAGTAGAACGTAATCAGGAATAGAACACAATCAGGAGTATAATGCTTTCTCGCAATAAAACAGCAGGTGTTAAGATGTTCAAACACCAAATAGAAACATTTTTTTGCAAGTAATCATTTCTCTTTGGTGTTTGAACATCTTAACACCTGCTGTTTGATTGCCAGAAAGGGTAAAACCTATTCTTATTTTTTCATACGTTGATACTCGCCAAAAAAGGTCCAATTTTAGACAACGCATAGACAAGCATCATACCCACAGGATGAAAACAGACTAACACACGCACACATCTACATGTGAACAATAAACACAATCATTGTCGTTATAGTTGACGGCGCTTAGTCAATCCACTACCCGAGGAGGTCTCCAAACGTCGTGTAAGTCATGACAGTACTTCACCACGCTGGTTAATGCCGGTTGGAGACGTGGGTAGGGGAGCGGGGACTAGCTGTTCGTGTTTAAGTATCGCTTACCACTGGTGGCAGTTGTAGCCTGGAGTTGTTATCGGGTACCCAGGTTCAGAACGCAGTGCCTTAATCATTGCATCACCAACTTCCCCCATTACTGTAATGCATCATTAGATATGTTTAAATACCTTGTTTGCCTCATGCTGGATTTACCGACTATGAATAATCCAATAAGTGCCTGATTCAAGAATTGAACTGAAAACGTATTATTACGACTGTCATGCAAAACATGAGTATGTCACGAGCGTATATCATTTACGCGGTCCTTAAATGTACCATTTTTATACGCCTGGGAGAGATTAATTTATCGTGAGAGTAATAATTTAATTCAATGAATCAATGCATCGTGACACCCTTGTGAGCAATCGCTGGGAAGGAGTAAACACCGTGTGGATAAAATGGTGGCGGGTTCCCCAACCCCGTTCACAACCCGCACCGAGAAGCGTTGTGAAGTCAGTTTACAATAACCCCCAAAGACCGACACGGCTGGCTGGAGGACTTCATCCAGCAGCGGACTGACAAAAGGGGTGGTAAATTACAATTCATTATTTTGGTAGGATATCTAAAGGCGATTGACAAGAACGAGAAGTAGAATCTTCCAATGCGGGATTGCGTACACATCTCTCCTTCTCTCGGGAATTACCCAGTGTTGGAAACGCTCAAGATACCCGAGCAAGTCATTCCTGCACCAAGTGCAAAGCATCCGGGTCTCAATCACAATGGCCAAAAAGAAGCCTTGAATTTTAGACAAGCGAGCAATGCAGAAAATTATGGCAGGGAAGTGAAGACTGATTTATTTATATGCCTCTCCCTTGCTAGGCTTTGAGCTGCTCTGAACAAAAAAACGGCGAGGCTGTCCCATAACAATGAGGTTGTCCAGACAACATGCACAAGCCTAAGCCCTCACGTCCCACTCGCATATTGACACAAAGACCTCCCGTATAGCCTTGACAGGCTGTTGGGGCAAGTGCTGTTTGCGAGCACCTATGAAGGACGACACGATACACAAGTGGGTGGGTGGTCAACACCACACCAGACCGCCTTTGTCTCCTCAGTGGCGATGTTTTGACACACCACACCCGGTACTCATTTGAGGCTGAGCGGGAAACGAACTCGAGTCACAGGGATCGTAGCGCAGCGTGCTAACCGCTACACTGCCCCTTCCCCGCGCATATTGACACAGTCTCACGCACACACACGTGGAAAATAATGCAACACAAACTTGACTGATAAATAAGACTGTTCTGTCTTTTTCCACTGCCTAACAAACCAACCAGACAACCATGAACAAACATGCAGGAGGTGCAACCCACAAGTTTTGAAGCATCCAAGCAATCGTGCCTCTTGGGATGGCAGTTTCAGAGTCGGGCTAAACGTAGCAGCAGGCGAGACTGTCCCAATAATTACGCGAGGCGTGGAAATCCCGGTGTCGCGGAGGACCTACGTGTCGTAAACGTTGAGCAGCCAGTTGAGACACATGTCGACGCAGAGGGGCAGGTTCACCAGGTCGCTGTGCTTGCGCTCCAGGCCCTGGTAGATGGTGGTGAGGCAGCCGACGGCCTCCGACACGTCCATGAGGCGGTCGTTCTGCTTGAGGCCCGACTGCTCGAACACGTTGGTGAGCGCATCCAGGCTCACGAGGTCCACTGCGGTGAGAGGAAGCGAGCAGAGCAAATTCGTGAGTACATCCGGGAGTTGTGCCGTTCCTATAGAGCTGTTAATCAATATAGGTTTGATGCAACAAAGTAGTTGTACTTACGTGCCCGTGCTTAATTTGTGTTTTCGATTATTTGCCTTAAAAAAAAAAACTGCCCATGTCTCGCACCCCCAGGAAGAAAGGGCATCTCGCATCCCCAGGGGGTGCACCGTGCACCCCAGGTTAAGAACCACTGCTACAGAGCAAGGCGTTTTGGACATTTGACCGATTGGTCTAAATTAGCCGTAACTTTTTGCACTCCACCCCCCCTCCTGTAAAGGTTTCCTGGCTCGCGCGAGAAGTTGGCACTGTGGTCTGGGATGTTGACTTAATGAACTAATTTCTCTGACGTGATAACTATTTTGTTACTGTTGTTTGTGCATTTTGTTTTCGTGCCATTTCTTGATGTGTTCATTAATTTTTTATTTTCTAAAGGGTTTTAATTTTCTTGCCATTTGCTATAAATCGGATTTGGCCCTCGTATAAAATGAGTGTACGGCGGCGTTGGGGGATGAAATTCGCGTGAATGACCCTGTATAAAATGTAATTATTATTTTTGTGAAGGCGCCACGTTTCACAGACGTAGTGTTGTAGGTGCTCTGCGGCAGGGGGCGATGATTGTCGTGGGCTCTCCCAATTGAGTAATTTGCAGGGTAGTTTACCGAATGTGGACCCGCGACTCCGACGCAGGTGACCTCTTTTTCGAATGACGTCACATGGTCTTTAACGTCAACGAGCAACAAATCACCCAGATTGATTTCCCGCACCTCCGTCTAGCACGGTTGTCTACGCACAGGTGCGAAAGGCGTTCAACATACATGGCATACATTTGTGCTTGATTTTGTAAAAGCTCGGAAGCTAAGCAGCTGCAGCTTGTCATAGTGTTTGGATGGGTGACCATCCATGCACACACAGTTGCCACGGGCTGCTACGTAACTCCGTAGTGGGCATCAGAGGGTAGTGCGAGCAAATGTATTTTTCTACTGTACTTCTGTGTTCTCCCATCTATGCCGCCTACCTTCACCAAACAGCACTTAGCAGCGTGGTGAAGTGCAGTCAAACAAATCCCCGTGATTGGCACAATGAGCAGAAGCCCTCCACACAGCATTGGATTGACATGGGGCTGTTGTACGGGTAACAAACAAACCAGGCCACATGTGATACTTAGTACAAACGTGAAGGGAGCTGTGTGTTTGACTGAATTCGTTGTGGATGGCTTGTCTGTCCAATCTGAGAGTAATCATTTGCTTTTTTTATTTCATGTAAATAATTATTATTACACTCGCTATTCACACGTCGGCCAGGTTTTTAAAACAGCTTACAGACCTAATGGGGGTCTATGCGAAGATGTATGCTTAGGTTTTCACGGAAGTAACATTCGTCCGACCAAAATCACACAGCAGCAGCGGCCAGCAACACCACGCAATCGATCGAGAGAGGGCCGCTCAATTCGGTTCCTGTAAAAGCTGGCAAGCATGTTGAGTGAAACGTCAGACAATGTACCGAATGACACCCGGTACAACCCCTAAAACGTACCGGAGGCCAAATGGAATTGTTGACGGTTACATGAAGTAACTACGACCAAATACACCGCTCTAAATAACAACTGTTTATCGCTTTCCGAAAAACCAATTCAGCCAACCGACTGCACGACATAAAATGTTATAACGTGGCCAAATCTCTGAAGTAATTTAAGGAGTAAATGTGAACTTTAATTGCGTCGCGTTATAATGATGGGAAAAAAAACCTCACACAGTTTTGTCTTTGCAGTCAATTCGGTTCCTGTTAAAAGCTGGCAAGCATGTTGAGTGAAACGTCAGACAATGTACCGAATGACACCCGGTACAACCCCTAAAACGTACCGGAGGCCAAATGGAATTGTTGACGGTTACATAAAGTAACTACGACCAAATACACCGCTCTAAATAACAACTGTTTATCGCTTTCCGAAAAACCAATTCAGCCAACCGACTGCACGACATAAAATGCTATAACCTGGCCAAATCTATGAAGTAATTTAAGGAGTAAATGTGAACTTTAATTGCGTCGCGTAATAATGATGGGAAGAAAAAAAAACCTCCCACAGTTTTGTCTTTGCAGTCATTGCTGCTCCCATGACAGCACCATCTGTGAGGTTTTTTTTTGTGTCCATGCGGCACCGACACGTTTTACAATAATGTATTACAAAGCGGGCTGCCTAATTAGAGCACAATGAGATATGCCAAGGTTGTTTTTTTTTCTCCCCTCCTCCGTGCAAAATTATAATTGTCATTCAAAAAAACAATCCCTGAAAATAGGGAGACGAAAAGTAAAAAAAAAAATTTTGAACCAAAGGAAATAAAACATTCCAGCCTGTACTTGTTTGCGACACTAGATCACCAGTGGGACAGATATGTACCCGATGTGATGTACCGCAGCTGCGATTCCTCGTACACATTTAAATAAATGAGTAACATATTGCTCATCTTATTTTCACTTTCACGACTGGACGTGATGAAAGGGCTTGGCCCATGCCGAAGAAGCACACGGATCTCGGCAGGACTGGGAAGGCAATGCATCGTTGATGTGAAAAAAAAACTGCCTCCCAGGAGCAAAAAGTGCATGGCTGCAGGTCATTTACAAAATTGGATGCTGGGATGCATATACTGCACTTCTGCGGCAGTTTGACGACTCGTTTAACACGAAGTTTTTCAGATAAGACTCAGTTGCATCATGGTGGCTTAATAGGCACAAAACACTTGGACATTAACAGAAGAAGAATATCTCGCAATACCAGAAGAAGGGAGAACTGCTTGTGACTGCGTTGTCTTGAGTGGTGCATTACTAAGTAATTGACAAAAGCCAGAATTTGTCATGTCCCTGAGAATGCTTACATAACAGCTACAGTGAGGGAAAAAAGATTTTGATCCCCTGCTGATTTTGTACGTTTGCCCACTGACAAAGAAATGATCAGTCTATAATTTTAACGGAAGGTTTATTTGAACAGTGAGAGACATAATAACAACAACAAAATCCAGAAAAACGCATGTCAAAATTTTTATGAATTGATTTGCATTTTAATGAGGGAAATAAGTATTTGACCCCTCTGCAAAACATGACTTAGTACTTGGTGGCAAAACCCTTGTTGGCAATCACAGAGGTCCGACGTTTCTTGTAGTTGGCCACCAGGTTTGCACACATCTCAGGAGGGATTTTGTCCCACTCCTCTTTGCAGATCTTCTAAAGTCATTAAGATTTCGAGGCTGACGTTTGGCAACTCGAACCTTCAGCTCCCTCCACAGATTTTCTATGGGATTAAGGTCTGGAGACTTGCTAGGCCACTCCGGGACCTTATTGTGCTTCTTCTTGAGCCACTCCTTTGTTGCCTTGACCGTGTGTTTTGGGTCATTGTCATGCTGGAATACCCACCCACGACCCATTTTCAATGCCCTGGCTGAGAGAAGGAGGTTCTCACCCAAGATTTGACGGTACATGGCCCCGCCCATCGTCCCTTTGATGCGGTGAAATTGTCCTGTCCCCTTAGCAGAAAAACACCCCCAAAGCATGTCTCCACCTTCATGTTTGACGGTGGGGATGGTGTTCTTGGGGTCATAGGCAGCATTCCTCCTCCTCCAAACACGGCGAGTTGAGTTGATGCCAAAGAGCTCCATTTTAGTCTCATCTGACCACAACAGTTTCACCCAGTTGTCCTCTGAATCATTCAGATGTTCAATGGCAAACTTCAGACGGGCATGTATATGTGCTTTCTTGAGCAGGGGGACCTTGCGGGTGCTGCAGAATTTCAGTCCTTCACGGCGTAGTGTGTTACCAATTGTTTTCTTGGTGACTATGGTCCCAGCTGCCTAGAGATCACTGACAAGATCCTCCCGTGTAGTTCTGGGCTGATTCCTCACCGTTCTCATGATCATTGCAACTCCACGAGGTGAGATCTTGCATGGAGCCCCAGGCCGAGGGAGATGGCAGTTCTTTTGTGTTTCTTCCATTTGCGAATAATCGCACCAACTGTTGTCACCTTCTCACCAAGCTTCTTGGCAATGGTCTTGTAGCCCATTCCAGCCTTGTGTAGGTCTACAATCTTGTCCCTGACATCCTTGGAGAGCTCTTTGGTCTTGGCCATGGTGGAGAGTTTGGAATCTGATAGATTGATTGCTTCTGTGGACAGGTGTCTTTTATACAGGTAACAAGCTGAGATTAGGAGCACTCCCTTTAAGAGTGTGCTCCTAATCTCAGCTCGTTACCTGTATAAAAGACACCTGGAAGCCAGACATCTTTCTGATTGAGAGGGGGTCAAATACTTATTTCCCTCATTAAAATGCAAATCAATTTATAACATTTTTAACATGCAGTTTTCTGGATTTTTTTGTTGTTATTCTGTCTCTCACTGTTCAAATAAACCTCCCATTAAAATTATAGACTGATCATTTATTTGTCAGTGGGCAAATGTACAAAATCAGCAGGGGATCAAATACTTTTTTCCCTCACTGTACTTCAAAGTAGGAGAATCCTGGCCAATGCAACTTTTAACCCTATGGCCTGCATATGGCCACGAGAAGAGTTGTACACACGTTTGAACAAAAATTGCATGAACTGCAAAATACATCTTTGCCCAGATTCTCTCCGCATGGCCGTGTGAATCTCTCTTTTAATTTTAATTTTTTTCTTCAGGGGGCATCAAGACCAAGGCGAATTGCCTTTGTCCTTGGGTCATGGAAACAGGCTGCAGGCCTGGCCAGCCGGCCCGCCAATTGGTCGGCCAATTGGCCGGCCGGCTGTGCGTGATGGCGAACGATCCCCGCCGTGCAACCAGGAACACACAACGGGAAGTGTCCGTCTTCTTTGGTTCTTTCGGTAAAGTCACGTAGAATGAGAATAAAATAATAAATTGATAAAATAAAATAACACAATAATATCCGCTTTGTAGGCAAGAGAGGTCTTCGCTTGCTGCCGACCAAACAAAAAAATCCCCGACACATCTGAAGCTGGCGAACCTTTATAATCGCGGCCGAGTGGCGATCAAGTGCTCGCACAAGAAAAAAAAAGGGGTCTGCTCCCTTCTGCTGCAGGTCTGCTTTTGAAGAAGCATGTGTCTCTGCGGGGTCTTTTTGTTGTTACATTTATAAAAAAAGAAAAAGTTTACAGTTTCAGATGCTTCAATAATCAATGCCAGTATGACAGCGCACACAAACTCATTAGCGGAGGTTTGCTTATATTTTACCCACAGTGCTCAAAGGCAACACATTACGAACCTGTGTGTGGAATTGCATTTTCCTTTTAACGGGGTCCCATATTTTATACGGAGTACTCTTGCCAATAACATTTGGTAATCCCACAGTACACAAATTCAAGCTGTAGTAAGGCTTTTTAAACAAATTCTACTTTATAATATTGGTTTTGAAGGCTTGATGGGACTAAAACATATTTTTGTTTGTACGTGGAGACACAAAGCAGATGACGACTTATATTTGCAAGTACTCTAGGATAAAAGGTGTAATATCACTCACTGGTGTCGCAACCTCGTCATATTTGTTTTCTAAGCTTGTTTTGTCTTTCATGGCCATTCCAACTTGCTTATTCACAAAAGAAGGGGAACGAAAAAAGGCAACGCAACGGAATTTCATTGAGATTCAGCGACAGAACAGCGCGATTGTCTTACGCGTGCTGCAGTGCATTTTCAAGGTTGGTACACGCTCAAATTAAGGTCATCTCATTCCAAAGACGCACACACTCCAGTGACCACGAACAGCCGATGCTGCGAAGTATCGACCGGATAATGGCACACATCACCGTGCGCACACCTAATGGCTCCATCTGCGGCCGTTCATCTGTGCGTTATGTCGGTCGCGGAGAAATGTTCCAGATGCCAGCTTTCGGTAACGCGCACACTACCCCCGGTTTTATTTTATTGCCCCGGCAAAAAAAATGCGTAAGCTGTTACCCCGCACTAAATCTGCGTCCGTCCGGGTTTTATTGCAGGGCGTGGAACTCGGCGTAATTCGCCATGCATTTTTTTTTTGGTATAAATATGAGGCCTGGGCCATTAAGTCACGATAATGATGCCATGGCACCCGCAGTGAAGGATATTTATCATGTCTCTTTGTCAAAACGCCCGCCCGCCGAGAAACATTAAGCCAGCTGCCTTGCCAGCAAAAAAAGTCCCTTGCTCTTGGTGCTGGCAAAAAAAAAAATTAAAATCTAAAAATCTAATTTAATTAAACGCCAAGGCCTAGTGTAAGTTTCATCATTATAATATGGTCAGCTCTTCTCGCTTCCACTTCACTGCTACATTATATCATCAGCTAAGCCTGCAGGTCAGAGTTGAATATATAATGATCATGCAACTGGACCTGTTGTCATGCGAGGGACTTTTTTTTCAACATTTCAATGCCTAGAATGACTCACCACTTCATGCATTTTACATCCTATAACGCCATTTATGATCCTGAATGGCCATTACATTTGCTTACTGTCTCATTCTGTTTGCCCTCTCATTGATCAAATGGTGGTATGCACACCCCATTGAGCTCTCTTGTGTTCTGTAAAAAAAATAATCGCCCCAAGTAAAATACATGACAAAAATGTCCCAGTGCTTTTTGCACACAGCATGCCCAGCTGATTGAAGTTTCTCCCAATATACACGCAACCACACACCTGCTGTTTGCATTTGTAATTTTAATTTGCACACCTTGGTCCAAAAAAACCGAGGAATTTGTTGAAAAATGTGCGGACACAGATAGTGTAAAGTATACCCTAGGCTATAATTTATTTCTCAAGATTGTTGCTGTGTTGTTTTGCTAAACATCCGTACGCAGGGTACTTTAATTTAAAATCACAACCTTCAATTCCAATAACAACTTAGAATTTACATTATATATATTTCTTCTTCTTTTCTGTTCCCAATGGTGACCTTGCAAATAATAACTTTTTTTTCCAGCGCACTTTTTTTTACCGTTTTAAAATGTAAATGAATTCCCGGGGTGTGAACATCTATTTATTGCAAGCAGGTTAAGTGCTTATCACATTTATTAGAGGATATCAGACAGCCAAGGCTGCGGACATGAACCAGCCAAGCGTGTATAGGGGGAGTCAAGCACGGCGGAGCTCACAGCACGACGCCCTGTCGCCCCCCACTCTTGATAATGGTCACACTTGGCCTGCCGACGTCACTCTCGCGTCACGCGCCAGTCGTTCAGTCTCGTCGTCACGGCGTCTCTTTTAAGAGGCCCCAGGCTCCGTGATGAAATTTATTCAGAAGGGGTTACCTGTTGAGCTGAGGTTGAGGATATTGCCATGCCACTCGTGACACCGTTCTCGATTTCATCGGCGAGATGCGCTGCTGTGTTTTGGCTGGTCTCGCCAGCTGAACCGTAGGTTGCCGGTTATCGTGTCGCTGCAACATCTGTTGAACCCTAATTCCAATGCCCTGCCGGCCATCACTTCTCGGGACGTAATTTTCCGCCACTTTACGTCAGCGTGACGACTGAAGCGCCGACCGCACCTCCAACGCGAGCTTCGTTTAGAGATAAAAAGAAAATACAGAAAGCTAGTTTCTTGAGAGGCTCGCTCCGCACAAAATGGCTTTGGAACCAAACATGCCCAGTGGCACGGTATTACCTACAAGTCGTGGGACCCTGACGCAATGGTGGCCTTTCAAATAAAAAGGTATTTTAAGTTTTTGCTTGTGGCTCGTACCCAGAACTATGTCTTATTCAATCAGGTGCTCTGGGCACTATTCCAACATTGGGTGGCCAATTTAAAAAAAAAAAAATTTTAAATTGAACTGTGTGTTGAGCAAGGACCACTCCCTCCAGTCAGCTTAGCCCGATGAGTACCCAGTGATGAATGCACGGCAACGCAAAAGAACACACGAGAAGCCATGTGTCATGCCAGCTACTCATTTTGATTGTGCCCTTTGCCAAAAAACGAAATGTTCAGTAATGGCACCTGTCCTGTCTCCATGGACAAAGAGTACTTTTAATCATGGGCCTTTCATCCCATGGCTTCAGCGTCTGACTCGTACTTTCAAAGCCATTGTGAACGTTCATTCGGGAAATAGAAAAAAAAAATCGTCATAGGCTGCTTGTATCGTTGGAAATATAATCTGTGACTTAACTTTGTTTTTTTAAGGAGCAAATGGAGGAAGAGGTATCTGGGTGCTCAAGACTTCACAGCACTGAGCTGGTGCCACTTAGATCCTGTGTTTTATTCCAGGCAGCCGCCCGTGATTAAACGGTGGCTATTCGAGTGTGGTGAATTGATGGTCTCAGCCCAGTTACCAATGAGAGCACACACACAAAAGAAAACTACCATTGGATTAAATTTGAATTTGCACTCGTATTTAGCTAAATTCCAGCCCTCGAAATAAATATAAAATGCATTTAAAATCTTACCACAAACATTTTTCTCTGCATGATGAAAACATGTATAGGCTTTACCCTGTAGTAGAGTGTACAGTGAAGCACAGCAGCCACTCGTGTGGATGAAAGGTCAGAAGTAGTTCTGCGATATTGCCTTCTACGGACTCTTCTCCAACATAGCATCCCTGTAGCGCGTGGGTAGGGAGGGGAGACGGCGGGGGAGGGTGGCTGTGTCCGCTAGAGGTTCGGCCTCCCATTCTAAACTCTGGGTCAAGTAGGCGACGGGCACCACAGCAGCCTTTACCTGTATACAATGGGGGAGATGGCTACATCGGAATGCATGGTGGACAACGTAGGTCGCATTCTTGCTTGCCCGTTTCGCATTTAACAGTTGCTTAAAGTTTGCTTAACGTTCACCGGTGCCTTGTGCCATCCCCCCCCCCCCACCTCCTTTAAAGAAGGGCACGGGACTGGGCTGTGGCCCGCAGTGATGCACTGCTCTCTTGGAAGCAGAAGCAAGAACGCGTGGAGGAAATACTCACAGCAGAGTGCCTTCTGGAGTCGCCGTAGCTTCATGGCGGTGCGGTAGGCCGAGAATCGCACGTTGTTGAGGTCAGCTGCAGTTGAGATACAAAATAAAACAGCCCAGGCCGTATTACAAGTCAGGGCAGAGCAAAGTATGCCCACAGACATTCACACCGATGCACGGTCTTTGTAAGTGCGGTTTACTTAACCCTGTTAGTGCTTAGGTGTCAACATCCCCCACCACCGTTGTAGCTTCGGTCCAGCGTTATAGATCTCGTGAATTTGCGGCGCTTGCAGTTGCATCTTTTTTCCCCTACATCTTTTCCAGTACCATTTTGACCTAAAACGCCTTGTTATCTGGATTTACTGCATTTGCGATTATCTATTATTTATGCTACCAGGTAAGACCCACTGAGCTATATTGCTTTTTTTCAAAAGCGACCTGGCCACCAATGATAGTTAAATGAAGTGGCTTATCATCAAGTGGAAATTTATAGCAGTCAAATACTCGAAAGGCATGTTTCTAACTGTGCAGGGAAAAACGGGAGGACCGGAGAAAAATCCACGAGGCCTCGGGGAGAACATGCAAACTTCAAAATAGGAACGTATCCCAGTATTATTGATCTATTTTACACATTCATCAAGTCTGGAGCTACAGTAGGTAAAGGGACAGCTCTGTAATTCCTTGCTCAAGTCAGGGGCCTCCATTGGAGGGAACTCTAGAGGGTCATTGGTCGACTCTTCCATGCCGACACAGACACGTGTTCGTAGAGGTGGGAGTTCCCGCACCTTACCCGCACACGACCTGCCAATCGACTAACTTTGGTGGACAGAAGCGGGGGGTGGCGGGGATTAAAAAAAAACTTCCACCATTGTTTCAACTGCCACGCCAGAAGATGGAATTGAACCGGTGAATTGAACCGGTGAATTGAACCGGTGACCTCTGGATTAAAAGGGCAAATGTGTTAACCATTACGCCACAGCACATTCCAAAATAGGAACTATTGGCCAGATACGTCAGCCACGTCTTAAAATACACTTGAGAAAATATATAACAGGGCAGTATAGAAAACAGAACATATCATAGTCTAAGAGGTATATACTCGTGTTTTTTATTAGATAGAGTGTGGCGCATAAGTGCAGTGACTCACATAGTGATTGGTAGAGTTCGGTCATTCTGGGATGGTCCCAAAAAGTTGTCTGAGTCTGGTGGCTGAAAGAAAAAAAAGGAAATGGGGGGGGGGGGAGAACAAAGATTGATAAATATATAAATAACACACGCAATGACACAAAAACTCCTTACAATTCAGAGAAGAGAGGCCCCGGCAGCAAATTCTGGACTTTGGAATTGCTCACACCCATTTAGAAACAGTTTGCATGTTGTAAATCTGCAGCAGTCCCTTTGTGAGGACAAAGCTATCATCAGACCAACGGGCCCAGATGGGGTGGGATGTGGAGGGGGGCCTCAACACAAATCGAGCTTTCACTGTGGCACCCATCTACAAATTTACTCTGCAGAGCTTCACACGTTTGGGGACGCACTGAGCAAAGCGTGTCAATGCCGACGATGATGACGACGACGAGGACGACGAGCCCCTGCGGGAATTTCGCACTCGTCTGCGGCATCTCAAAACACGGCTTCAGATGCAAGGAGGCACAACGGACCGCAGCGCGGCAATTACGCTAGAACCAAAAAGCAAAAGCTCAATTAAATAAATAAACGCACAAACAAATGGCCCGTGTCATGCACCCTCTTCGTTAATGGACGACGGGTGGCCTTGGCGAGCAATGATTTGGTTTATGGTGCATAACTGTAAGCTACAAAAACCGACACAGTTAGCGATGGCGGCGCAGATGGTTGTAAAAAAAAAAGTGTCCCATTAACTGTATGACCGAAGCAATTCTCTGGCAAACCTCTAAACCCACTGCACCCCCTTCCAAATCCTCCTCGTCAAAAAAAATAATGATAAAACTGCCACATTTCTCACAAGAATAAAGACCCCCTAGGCTTCAAATCACCCTGGTGTGCCGCTTGGATCACCAACCCTGTTTCGAAGACCGTGGGTTTTTTCCATTTATTAAATCCCTCGCTTTGTCTCAGCTATTATTGCCTGGCATTGGCCCAAGAAAGCTAATTTCCTGAGCTCATGTGTAACACTTTATGTTGTTGTTCTTTTGGATTAATTTCCTGGATGTTAATTAAAGTTTTTTTTTTCATTTATATACTGTATCTAAATCACCGATGAACTCAATTCACCTAGATATTCAGATGTTTATTGTTGTTAGTTTTTACTTGTTAATTTTAGCCAGGCAACCGTTATCTTGAGTGCCGCTTTCACTCTTCAGTGGTTTATCATGTTTAATCACGTTTAATACAAATGCATTATGCTCTCACTTCTTTAGCCGAAAAAAAAATCCTCGAGGTCCTGATTTGTTTTCTAATGCACCCTCGCAAGATAAGAGATCGCGCACGCTGCGCATGCAACTGTCGTTACGTAAACGCATTTCGCTCTTGCGTGAAACATCACGGCGTGCGTTTTACTTGGCACTGTCGCACTGATTTGAAGCGCACTTTATTTTTGTTCACGCGGGAGTTTATGGTTCACATTCAAAGTGGGTTCAGGAAGATGGAAAAAAAAGTGCAAATGACACATTTTGCAGGCACAACATCAAGTGCAAATGACACATTTTGCGGGCACGACATAGCTTTGCGGCACTGCTGCGCGCATTGCCGACAGGCTGGGCTTAAATTCACAGTCAATAACGCACGCGAGTTACTGTGACGCAAACATATGGGGACGGAGGCACACGTTGTAGCGCACTGCTGGTGTCTGTGTGCTTCGTGGGGGGGGGAGGTGGGGGGCTGCCATAACACATTGCTGGAATGCGGGGGGGGGGGGGGGCTGACAGACCGGGGTGTGTGCGTACAAAAAGAAAACATCACCCACAGAAATATCGAAGGGTGAGAAATTAAGTCTGTCAACACATCACCGTCCAATAAGAAACTTGTGATATATATGGCCATCGTTTTTTTATTCAACACCCAATGTGCAAGTCATCTTTAGGGCAGGTAATAAGGCAAGTTTATCAGCTCCTGACACCTGCGGAATTACTTTAAATAGCAAAGTGCTGCTGGGCCACACGCTCTGAAAAATGATTACCCGTCAGTGCATATCATCTCCCATGGAACACCATTTCTCAATGAGTAATACGCACGGAGACATTACGAATGGCGAGTTACATGCTATTGCTGTCAAGCTTTAGTTTCTCCCACCCAGCATCGATTCACTGTGCCGGATTCAATGACGACGAAGCACAGACGCAGCAAGGAGAAGCGAGATGCTTGGGATTACACCGAGGGATGGATCCGAGAACCTACTCGGGTTTCCGGCGTCACGTAGACTGTGAAGGAAAATAGGTGTGCTTGAGCAGGCTGGAGGTCAGGACTGACAATGGCAGTCGAAGCAGACAAGGCGCCTGGGAGGAGGTTCACCGTGCATCTCTGCGAGGAGCTCTGAGCGTCACTCCCCTGTGCCCAATATCAATGTCTGGTTACGTATGTAATCCATGTAGGTACGCTGAACTTCTTTCGCACCGCACGTAGCCGACCGTGCTAATCGGAGGCGCGGGGGAAGGGCAACAAACTAATCACAAAAAGGCAGTTCTAAAGAAATACTCATTCGTAGAAATCGCCAAATATCACAACGCTGACTCCTCCTCAAAAGTCTCTAGAGGCTTGGCGAGATTTTTTTTTTCCGGGTAAATAAAGGACGTCATGAGTATTATTATTCGTGCAAATGTGTTTTTTTTATGACGGCGGCATAACATGACTGTGCCACCTCAGGTTCGTTCACGAAACACAAGTTCAGAAACAAACTCACGGACATATCCCCATTGAGCCATACTAGGGTCCGAGTTGTTAGCGAGCACCTATTAGAGCATAAGAAGGCTGTGAGACAAGCACTTGCATTGCCTCCCAAGTACTGACATTGACCGCAGCATACCAGGTTCTAATTGTTTGGCTTGGTCACCCTCAGGGATTACACACCTCCCGTTAGCACGGTTGGCTACGGACGGTGCGAAAGAAGTTCTACATACATACAATAGAAATGCATGTCCTGATATTTTACCCATATCACCACGCGAGTACGAAAGACAACAATTCCCCGGATAGCCGTCCAGATTATTGCGGCACGGTACGTGAAGTGGTGGTGCGGACAGCATCACTCCCGGCTGTCTTTGTATCCCCAATGCCGACACTAATGTAAGCCTAGCTTAACATAGAAGGGGCCCAGGAAAAGTTATGATACAACTTGCTACTGATGCTAGCCGAGGCTGGTAATCAAACTAAAAGATTGTGGGGGGTTCATAGCATTGTAAATGAAAAATAAGGCACCACATAGCCGCACACACAGATGTAAACATAGATATGAAGATTCCTTCACAGATGGCAGCTTGATGCACTTACAGTAGATAGCACTGTGCACACATCCGAACGTGGAGAATATTAACTATGTTGGCATGAGTGTATGTACGTGTGTATGAAAGAAATGTTAAAATGTATTCCAATAATACAGATATTAAAACTGTCAAACAAAAATCCACAAACAAAAAGTACCGTCGATTTTGCATTCAGCAAGAACTGAATAGGGAATAGTTGAAGGATATTTCACATGAGACATCCTCTTGTGGAAGTGCAAAATAAAAGGCCGAGCGTGATTTAAAGGTTCTCTCCTGAGTCACAACTGAAACGGATGAAATTGTTTCTGCTGTTGAAATTACTTTTAACGAATGACAAATGACATTTCAGTGAAGTGCTATACGGGCAAAGCATCGTTAATTTTGTTATTTCATAACTGCTAGGCAAAAGTTTATTTTTAATTCAACAACTCTCTCCGACGTGATTCCATTGCATCCAGTCGTTGTTTGTTCGGTCATGATGTCCCGACGCTTCGCTAACCATGCTGGGGGCTTCTTTAGAATCAGGAGAAGCTCTCTTGAAATCCAATTAAATTCCTGAATTGGAATTCAGTTTCTCAAGAAGCTCCCTGGCACGTGCGACGAAAACGTCGGACATCGTGCTTGACGACACGCGAAACAACTCGACATCACCTTGACAGCTCTGCAGCACAACCGTGCAAACCTACACACTTTGTTGAGACTGTAGGAGGAATCCGATTAGCTATGAAGCTCTTTTTCACAGATGCCCAGTATGGACGGGTCAGCGACTTGTAATAATCGATAAAGTGTTGGAATTACGGAGGGTAAAACAAACAAAAAAACACACGTTGCTATTTTCTTAAAAATATATATGCATCTACATTTTAAACTTGGAACTTTTCTGTGATCGAGACATTACCCGAACTCGCATATGTAAAATTGAAAGAACGATCCACTGACCACCTGAACTTCCTTTCTGTTTTTTTTGCGATATCAGTCGAATGCATTTGACATTCACATCTCAAAGGCAAGTCGGGACGTTTGTAATGCAAGCAATGCAGTAGAACGAAAGAGCGAGAAGATCTTAATGCCGCCAGCATTGTCCATTGCTCGTCAAAATTATCATCATTTTCAGCTGGTTATCATAATACGCCCCACTGTCAGAGGCCAAGGCTCCAATCTAGCTAGCAGTGCCTGGAATTTACTTACTTTAACCAAACGCAATCAACTTTTTTTTGCAAAGATATATATGTAAATAGAGATGAATGACACTTAATTAACCTTGCGATGTCACCAACCCGTCAATGTAATTTGTCAAACATAAACACTAAGCTGCTAATTTGGGAATGTTTGACATGCGCTCATTTTAACATTCTCTCCTTTTGTCATTTTTTTGCTAATTTTACCGCAATTTGCTTGTCGATGTGATGTCATTAAACGAGGGAATCCATTCAGATCTCTCACAGAGCAGCACAACCTTTCATGTTAGAGAATGGCCGACGGAAGCGGATATCACAGAACTACTCCTGAGGTCCCTTCGCATTAATTCTTGTCCACACTGTAGGGGGCACTGACAATAACGTTCATCACATGACAGTCAAACCAATATTTTTAATCCTCAGAGCTGGAGTTTATGATCTTAGTGGTGCCAGCTCAGCATTTCAGACGACTTCTCGGTCATCTGGTCACCTTAATTTCATATTCTCGTCTAATAACTTCAACACGGCTTCAACTCAGGACCAGGCGACACAAGCCAAAAACACTTTTGCCTGC